GTTTTTTATTAAACATTAAAAATGCTCCATGTTTGTGCCAAAGTGAGGTACCTCTGAATCGATAAAGCAAACCAACAACTCCTTGTTGTATTTGCCGATAAGTCGGATGTTCTGACTTTTCGGCCCTCTAAAGTTCTCCGACGGTTTATAAGTGAAACGCTTGACGACCGCTCACTTGTTTGACAGCTGCGGTTATTGTACGTCCCGGAGATAACGCGCTTCTGCTAAGTGCTTAAACTGCGAACAGCTGCTGGAGCAGGAAACCTCCGTTAATGTGCAGAATGTGGCGCGATGACGAGTGGAGGAACCAGGGGGAGGACACACAACACAGCTGCATGGCTGCTCCCCACTGATTAGCCCGACCCTGCATGCACACTAAATGCATTATGGGAAAGAAAGGAACCAACTTGAGTCAGCCATACATCACATTAACAGGCCATTTAGAAGTTTAAAAGAGGTAATGGGGGGGGGGATATAAATCATTGTGCAGGCGAAGCAGGGCCCTCATGCCAAACCTTCATTCACTTTCAACGGGCGTTTCCTCTTTCGTATCATAAAAGTGTAAAAAAAAATGCTAAATGACGCAAATGTTTTGCAAAGAAACCTCGGTTCATTCGACAAATATTTCTGAAATTCTGAAAGCTTAAACTAGACAGAGAGCGAGCACTTTGTCTCTTTGCCGCTCTTGTTTAGACGAAGGAGGTATTTAGCGGGTAAACATCTGCAGGCTCCTTCTCTCCCTCCCAGCGGCTCGTTATCTCAGACACCGGGTTGAGTCCGGCTGATTGGACGCTGAAGAGGAGGACGCCTATCAGCAGCAGGTCTAATTAAATCATCCGCGGCAAATAACGGACGCGGGGAATTACAGGGAGATTACAGCCCGGTCCGGCTCTGCCCAAACCGCCGGGAACAATAGCTGTGATCGGTCTTAATTCCCCAGATAATTATGGCCGCAACGGCCGGGGGCGGCAGTTCACATCCACCCGAACACAAAGCTGACAGACGAAACCATAAACGCAGAGAACACTTAATAACGCGAGCGCACGTGGGTTTTAAACGCTTACTAAAATAGGTTGTTTTTTTCCAGCCCAAAAGCCGTCATCAAGCCCCACTTTAATAGAGGAAAGGGAACATCTTTCTCTGCCTGGTCTTTTTCACTTAATTAAATCTTTATAGCGGCGTCACCGGTGTGCGGGCGCGCCTCTCTCTCTCTCTCTCCCCCCCCCGCTGATCTCTCTCACTTTAGGGAGCCGCGGAGCAGCATGGAGCCTCACTACGAGCTGCACTTCCACCTTCCATCGAATGAGATGACCAGTAAATCCCTCCAGCGTGGATCCTTCCCCCGCGGCACTGCCAGACCGCTTATGTCCCGCTCGACCCCCCCCTGTGAACAACAGGTTGAACTGACCAAGGACGGTGATGATGTAACGCAAGAGGTACAATGCGTTGATTCATAATGAAATCATGGTCACTTGTGGGAAATACAGAATACACATCCGCAGAACACAACGGGTGGAAACTAACGACGGCAACTAAAACTGGCAAGACTCAAATCCGCTTGTGCATGTTGAGGTGTTGGCAAATAATAGCACTAAATTTTACAAATCACTGGTAAAATTAGTGTTAACTTGTTGTAGAGAATAAGTGGCTATGATTAGGATGAAAATAACAAATTGTGAAACAAATTGTGAAACAAGTGGATGGAGGTTCATCCTGCAGCTGTGAGCCATTCTTAAGACACCTGTAGAGCTCTATAGCCAGATGTGGAGCAACTCGTTAGTCCACCATCATTTCGAAGAGTGTCATTAGTTTGTAGGCCTTTGAGAAACACCCGTTAAGCTTTTATGATCATCTAAGGCCCAAACGACTGTATTATCTTTAGTATTCAGTATGTGCCTGTAAAACTTTCCTAACTACTTGCAGGGGAATGCAGGTCAAAAACAGCCTCTGTGCAGAAAGCCCCACACAAACATGTCTAATGCACAACAGATGTGTCCTCATGGGACTCACTTAACCAAAGCCAAAGTAAATCACCCAAACAAGACAAAATGTCCCAAGAACGTCGCCCTGACTTCCCTCCAATAAACAAGCAGATCAGCGCCGTCCCGCCCGGAGCATCGTCACCGCAATCGGCAGCAAGCGCAGCGCGAGCCATCGCCTCTCTCTCTGGAGGAGGACAATACGCCAGCACACCTCTAACGGAACATGACCGCTCGGTCTTTCCCCACGGCTCCATTTCAGGCGTGAACGCAGCAGCCTCTTGTGCCACACCAGCCCGGACTGGACAGACCCATTCGTTTGGGTGGGTGGGTGATGTGGGATAAGGAGGGGGGGGAGTAATTAGTAGAGTGGGTGGCCCGGGGGAAAAAGCATCTCCAATGGAATCGGTCCACCAAACAAGATCATTGGCTTTTAATCAAAGCGCATACCTTCGAAACGAGAAGATTAACCAGAGAGAAGACGTCGCACAGGAAGAGAGAGAGAGAGAACGAGATGGAGCTGCTAGAGGAATGAAGAGCAGTCTGAGGCGAGCCACGGGGGAGATGGCAGCAGCGGGTGCCCTTGAAATTGCCTGACTCATTACTGCAGCAGCACGGCCATGCGTGGTGATGGCGGGCTGAGAGAGAGAGAGAGAGAGAGAGAGAGACAGCCATGTCTGCAAACCACCGCCAGAGAAACACTTCGGACGCCCTTCCTTCCTTTTCAAAAGGCAACAACCACCATACGTTTTTCCGGGTTTACCCCCCCTCGTCCTGTTAGTTGTCGGACACGGAGCGAAGAAGAAGTAGGTGTGAGAGTGGAGGACGGCACGCAGGTGCACGTCGACGCTTTGAGTGACAGGTCTGTGTGGGGGGGCGACTCAACCAATCATTTCATCCTCCAGCTGCGTGGGCTCCAGCCCAACAGAGACCGGCATCACCTGCACAGCTGCCCGCTGCCGAGCCATCCACGCCCTGTGCCCGCCGCGTACGCGCGGCGAAGGGAGAAGCAGGGGTCGCGGACTTGTTTCCTTCCTCGTCTGCTCTCGCCACGCTGTCAAATAGAGCGGAAGCCTGTCCTGCCTCCGCACGCAGCCCGCTGGCGTCACTCGATCAGCATAATAATAATCAAGGCCTCCACTTTGTCCCCAGTGGGAGTTGACCCGCCGACTTCAGGGTCCCGGCGGTGTGGAAACGGAGGTTTACGGCGCCGGCCTGCGTTTAAGATGGCGTGGCTCCACCGAGGGAAGGGGCGTTATCGCCGTTAACCATGTTGCCTAAAGGAAAAGGCGTTATCTCCCACAATAAGAGGAGAGCAGCGTGCAGGGTGAAAGACGTGGTTCAGAGGATAAGAAGTCTGGCTCTGACTTCAGTTAATACGTTCAAAGTAAGACCCACGGGCCACAATAACCTCACAACAAAATAACAGAGGATTCAAATGATGAGACTACTTATTGTGTGTTAAGAATCTGGAGATTGAGAGAGACGATTGGGGCTCAGTTTAATGTTTCTTTGCGGTTTCAAGAAGATTTTGCATCTGCTTTGAGCATTATGTTTAAATTGTGTTTAATGCCGTTCAATATGACTCATCAGAACGCATTAGTTCTCTATGAAATCTGCGCTCCCATACAAATCCCACCTGTCTGTGTGTTGGGAAATATCAGGCAAGCGACTACGCGTGGTGGAGGTGGTTGGAGGGGGCTGGGGTCCCAGATGTGCGTGTGTCAACCTGAAATCAGCAGAAGGTAAAAGCTCTCAACTCACAAACAAGACTCGGGGCCGGAGGTCAGCGGAGTGACCTGCCAGGCTAAGGAGCTTACAGCACGCCGCGTGCGGACCAACCAGACGCCGGCCTCGCCGGTGGAGGGCGGCCAGCCCAACGTACGGCCCGTCGCAGCGGGGCCGTGACATAACAGGAGTGTGTGTGTGTGTGTGTCTGTCTAAACCATTTGGGAATCTAGTCCGTTTAGTAAATTAAATCTAAAAGGCTTTGGTGCTGAAACGTGTCGTCGCGGTGAGCTCCTGTTGATGTGAAATATAAGCCGTGAACGACAACAACAGCGCGATTTAGCCAGTTCTGGATCACGATAAGACTGTGTTTGAATGTTTTAGCATTTCATCAGTGAACCAATCCTAGGACTTAGTTTCATTCCTTGGCACACTGTGGATGTTGAAATGTAATTTTGTCGTCCTAGCGGCTACGATTGTGAAACAGTCCCTGATCTCCGGTGTTGTGATATCCGATGACGGATGGCTGGCTAACAAGCAAGACGATGCGGGACACGTCTGTGTCATCCTGCTGCTCTAGCGGGGTGATGGGGGGGCGGGGGGGGGGGGTGACGTAATGTAAGAGCAAACGCTGCTGGGAAAACTACTCAGACATCTAATCAGGGTTTTTTTTTTGTGGGTTTTCACACAGAACGAAATTACTTGACTCACGACGGAGGAGCTGGCAATTTAACACAAGAGTTCTCGCCCCCTCTCCCTCCCTTCCTGCCTCCCTCCCTTCCACCCTCCCTCCCTTCTTTGTGAACAAGAGGCGGCGCCGCAGAGCCACACGGGTGATTATATGAGTTATATCACGCCAACAGAGGCGGAGGAGTAAGCGTCGTGGAATTAAGAGACAGCTTACGCCAAACCCGAATCCCATGAGCCAAAGTGTCAAACAAATTCAGCACGCATACAAGCTTTGGCTCTCCTTCTACCAGACCCCCCCCCCCCCCTCCTTCCCCTCCCAACACCCTAAAACCTTCCCACCCAACCAAAACTCTGAGGTTCATTTCAGAGGAGGTCCAAACGGTCAGCACACTGGTTCCTGTTGTGACTTTAGCGCGTCCTCGCCGCGTCGCTTTGGCTCTTTAGTTTAGCGCCGTCGGCCGTCACGCTAAAAACGTGTCACGTCTCTGGAAAGTAAACATGTAAAGTGACTGAAATCACAGAGTAATAATTACACGGGCTCCTTAATACAGAGAAGAAAAAAAAAATCTCAGTTACTAAAGACACAATCGCAAGAAAGCTTACTTTACTTTGTAATCTTAAAGAAAATAATTGCACCATCCATCCGCCGCCTCGCGCCGATGTTTGTGTTCGTCTGGTGAAGCAATGAGACTTTGCGAACCCGACCGCCCCACTTGTGGATGTGGAAGGGCGAGCGTGCCAAGCTGGTGGTGGGACGGGCCCCTCCGTGCGCTTCATGCTCTCTTTCAGGATTGTAGATCTGGAAAGCCTCCAGAGCTCCTGCCAGAATACAAAAACGCCAGAACGCCGCAGAGTGAAAAGAGCTCCGAGCGGAGGGACGAGCCGCCGTCCGAGAAAGGAGAAACATCTTGTGCCGGCTCCAAGATTACATGGTGTTGACCTTTCTCAGGCTTGCAGTGCACAGCCTGATTGCAAATTAAGCCTCGATGTTCACGGCGCTGTTAGTTATATTCAGTGCAGAGCACAGAACCGTAGCTTCTGCACTACCCACTAACTGTGTTCATACATTCCACTGATTGAACTGCACTGTTGTTATAATTATCTCATCATATCGACCTCAAACTAAGTTAATTGGATGTAATTCAATTAAAAAGTCCCTAAAAAATGAATTATATTTAAAAGCAATGATATTAAGCTTTGTAATTATGCCGAGTTGCCATTTTGATGCACTCGTGCCGATTAATGTTTGCAGCCTGACCCGATTCAGACTTTATTGATTGTGTAATTAGTTTAGATGCACGTTTCAGAATTGCTAAACAAATAGATATTACACGTGTAGAGCTGCTTTCCTTCATCCACGCTTCACATCGCTAGTTTTCTCTGGCTCGCAAAGAAAGACGAGGTCGTAATTCTTCATCCAGAAAAGAATAATAAATAAAAGAATTGGCTTTGTTGTTTTTCCGACGGCTGTCGGACCTCACAATCTTTTCCCCATTCGCGGTGTTGTTCCAAAACAGCGACAACAGCTGCATCAACTCTGTCATCAGATTGAGTTTAGGATTCGGCTGCAGTCGCCACGCAAACCTGCTATCGGATTCAGAGCGGCGCGAGCAAATTGAGCTCGCCGGTGTCAAATATAGACTTTCGGGAGGGTGTGAGAGGTGAGTGTAATGAATAGCCAATTTCATTGATACAGTCTCTGCAGCAGGGGAGCAGTAAAGTATCCCTCACAGCCACAGTGGCTGTGGCATTTTAGAAATGCGTGGAATGCATAGCATTAAAGTCAATGTTATGAATCAGCCGAACTCTGGAATTGAAGCAGAGATTATGTCAGTGCGACATGTGGCGCGAAGATGATCCCTTCAGAGTGTTAACGATCAACACATCGGCCCGTTTCTTATCACACGGTTCACCTCGCTGTCCGCCGGGAAGATCGAAAGGCAAATGGTTTTGTTTTTTCAAACGTTACATCGAGCAGATCTCAATATCTACGCTGGGAACAGCGGACTCGGGGAACGAGAGGGACATGAAATGAGACTGGAACGTGCCGCTTTGCATATTGGAGCAAAGGGGGAACGGGATTAGCCGCTTTCGTTTCACAGTTATTGGATTTGGGCTCTGCGGGAATGGAATTATCCAAACACGGAGAGGCGAGCAAACACTGCTCCTGTTAACGTGGAAAATATGACTCAGTGTCAACACGTATGACACGTTACCGTACGCTGCTAAAGATTGTGTTGATCTAAACTTCATAGGATCAGTTTTTCGCTTCTTTACATCCGACTTGCACGTACCGAATCTAAAAACACCTCCAACAACGTGACGCTCTACTACCATCGAGTGCAGAGCAGCCGTATGTTCAGTGGTGCATTTGTGGTTGTACATTGTCAAATCTTTTAAAAATGTAAACGATGAACAATCATGGCAGGTTTTAAATCGATTCACTAGGTCTTTCAGAGAGGGATTGATGAGTGCGACTGCCTGAATGTGGCGCTGATCACGTCAGCCTCACCCTCGCTAACGAGCCGCGAGCGCCTGTCACTAACCTGTATCTCCTCGTACGCCTCGTCGATCGTCGTCACCTGGTGCTGCTCGTGTAGCGCCGGCTCGTCGCAGAAGAAGCACACCAGACTTTTGTCGGTGAGGCAGAAGAGCTTGACCTTCTCGTGGTCCTTGCAGGGGTAGGAGCTCCGCTGGGCGTTGAGGATGGCGTCCAGCGGGAAGGCCGAGTAGCGCTCCACGATGTTGGACAGCTTGAGACTGGGCGAGAGGAGGGGGTCCGTGAAGGTCCTGCGGCACTCGGGACAGTCGCGCACCCCGTGGAGCTCCTGCCTGCTCCAGTGCTCGGTGATGCACTTCCTGCAGAAGTAGTGCTCGCAGCCGAAGCTGACGGGGTCCTGGTAGATGCTGAGGCAGATGGAACAGAGGAGCTCGTCCTTCAAGCAGCAAGCCATTTGCAACGACGGGGGCCGAGCGGCATCGACGAGGGCAACGCTCTGGGGGCCGAGGGCGCTTGGTTTAATCTTCCGGCGAGTGGTTTACTGCCATGCGCTCGTCGATAGGACGAGTTGGACAGATCTCTGGGAATCTTCTCCTCTGTTTTCTCTGTTGAAATCAACAACAGATGAAGTGCTAATTATTCTTAAAATTACACAGCGCAGGGCTGAAAACATTTACAACAAACAAATGATTGAGAGCAGCAGGTTCTCTTGGTAACGCATAAACAAAATACACTTCAATGAGAGCCGGTTAGACTTTTTATCTTCGGGAATCATTTCTAGCTTCGGAAATCTTTGGACTGTTGGAAGAACAAAACCAAAACAACAAGGTTTCACTTCAGTTTCACTTCTGGGAAAATTAGATTTTCCAACTTTGCCACCAAAAGATTCACGGATGTTGATGATTCATGAATTTTTATCCAATTACTGGATAATCGAAACGGTTTAGAAGCACAGATACAGATAAGTATCTAATATCAGAAGTACCTGCTCACTGTTCCTCTTACTGTCCCAACGAAAACTATGAACTACACATGAATGCAATTCTATTTAGCTTTCTTAAGAGAGCAAATGCAATCTAGCTTACCTGAGGAAACACCTGAATATGTTAATGCTGTAATCGAAACCGTTGTTGAGAAGCTTCCCTTTAAATGTGCATTATTAAAAGACATTCAATTTTTCTTCACTTTTTAACATCCTCAACAAACTGTCGAGCTAACCGGTGAGTTGTAACTAGGCACAACAGCTATTTTAATTGGCTTTCTGTACGTGGCTTTGCAGGCAGGATTCGTAAACACAACCGACCAGGACGGCGACACTCCAGCGGGAGGATGAGAGGGGGACACTAAACGGGGCGAAACTAATTTAATAAGCTACATATTAAGAAGGGGGGTAGACGTGTGAGGGGGTGGAGGTATCCGCATTTGTGCAAAAGTGAAGAAATCTGTATAAACGGAGAAGGGGGGGAGGGAAGCCTCAACTCACCGACCTCCTCCCGGTGACATCTGCGGCTCCGATGCGAGTGTCTTCCAGGAAGAAGAGCAGCACTCAGCGGCAACAGACGCAACCAACTGCATCGATCGGCGGGGGGGTTCATTAAATATACTATTTACAAGATGACAGCTGTTTGACGATGAATACGACACAAAAGGGTTGAGTAATAGATTTGTATTGAGTCTAAAACAAAACGAGGGATTTGATTAGTGAATACAAGGGTTAAAAAATGATGATGTAAAGGTGAACCTCCTGTAGTAATGGAGTGGCTCAGACTCACCTCCCTCTTAGCATAGCTGCTTAGCTCCCTTGATTTTAACAGATGAACATGCCGAATTACACGAAAACTGTACCTGGATTTGTACAACTAACTGTTTCATTTTCACTGAACTGATTAAATAAATGTGGAGGTTGCTTTAAAAATAGATCACTGTTTACAGAAACGCGTTAATGAGCCGGCTTTCACTGGATGCAGTATCAACCTCCAACCAGCAGGTGTCAGAAGAAAACACCTTACTTCAGAGAGTACTTCATGACATTTATAAAATATCTAGTTTAGTGTTGTAAAATCTTTAATCTCTGCAGAGCTCTTTTGTTTAATCTGCCGATTATGTGTGCCAAAGATTTTATTGAATATCACTGACAATAATAAAATACCACTAGTGTTGAAATGTGTACACATTTGTATATTACTCGAGTATTTTAATATGCTACTTTTTACAAAGACGCCATAACATCTCAAAATCACAATATTGTACATCGTCATCAACTCTACGACAGCTTTGTAAAGATATAGTTATTTTGCTTAATACTATATTTGGTTCACAAGTATACCTGAGTCAATATTGCTTACAGTGATGCACCAGTATAGCATTCTCATACAATTATAATGTAAAATAGACAGCCTTTTCTTTTATGACTGCAGGACCTGTTATTACATATATATACACGTATGTATATATATATATACATGTATGTATATATACATACATATATACATATGTGTATATATACATACATATATTTAAAATGACTACAACTTCTATTTCCACAACATCACAAAAATGTACATCTTTACTTTATATACACATATAAACACAGAATGATGGTTGATGGATTTGATATGGAAACAGAATTATGGTTTAAGCTGGTCAAGTTAGCTTATTTTGTTCTTTCATGACAAAAAGAAATAAACAGATGGATGTATCAGTCTTTCATGCATGTGACTCTTCATGCTCTGTAACTGTCACTCTCCTGCACTGACATCAGTGATTGTTTGCCGGCTTCTTGATGTGGGATGCTAAATGACTCCTCCTCCTCTCCAAAGGGGAGTTTGGGGTCAACTTGCATCAAGTCCGTGGGCGTCACAGACGGTGTCCCACAGGACCTATTTTCAATGTGGAAAGTGATGTTGACGTTGACGTGGGGGTTGGCGGTCACAGGGCTGATGACCTGGGGGCTGGTGGGCTGGGAGGTGGACTGCGTGGGGACGTTTGGCTGCGGAGTGGCAGCTTCCGTATGGGAAAGTAACGTCATGGGATCCGACGGGACGGAGAGTGGACTGTGGAGAGCTACTGTGGATTGCAAAGGCCCGACGGACTCCTGGCTGCTGGAGCCGTCTGTTTGCGTCAAAGTGTCAGTGTTGTTACTGCACTGACTGTGGTCACTGCAGGTTTCCCCTCTCTGCAGCAGACACTGATGTTCTGGTGTGGGTACTTTGATATAATTCAGATAGGTTTCCCCCAAATAGTCCTGATCGAGCTACAGTAGAAAGACACAAGAACATTGATTCTCAGTATTTTGTCAAAAAAATGTTTAAAGGTTATTGAGAAAAAAAGTAAAATGCAGAAGACTCACATTATCAACTCTGTGACAACTTCCATTTCCATCTACCTTAGGATGAAATCTTGCTGCGTCGTCTGCAAAAAAAGCAATGTGAACTTGAGCAAGATACTAAAAATGAAAAGAAAAAGTCCCTGATGAAGATCTTGATTAGTCATCATCATTCTATATATACTAATTTGAAGATAAATAATAATATAGATACGGTCATAGTTTTTCCACAAAACAAGAACACAATTACTATTTATTTTTCTTCTCTTTTTGCGGGATGCAAGTACCTTTCTTCCGGACTGGTTTACAAAAGAACACCAGGACGATAGAGATGCAGAACAGTAATAACCCAATCACACCGGCAATGACTGCAGCTAAGAATGAAGTAAACAAGAGACACGACAGGGAGGCGGAAAGAGAGATGACACATTGATTAGACCGGGCAATTATATCACCACGACTTGCTTGGAAACACGGAATCAGTCACCTTACCCAGTATTTTGCCGGTGGCGGTATTTTGGTCTGGTGGCGGGTCTGGTGGCCGAGGGCTTATTTCTGGCCTTGAATACGATGTGCTAATAGACAGTGAGGCCTCTGTCTGTCCACGTGCAGCCTCGGAGTCTGAGGTTGCTGAGACGGTTCTCGTGGCAACGAACCCAAGCGCATCCATAGGCCTTCGCGTTAACGTCGGAGGCCGCGCGGTGTGTGCAAAAGCCCGCGGTTCACACACGTTGTCCGAGGTGGCGTTGCCTTTCTTGGCGACAACCCGTCCGTTACAGCTGTGGGGGAAACAGAGCGAGAGGTCTAAGCTGCGAGCTTCAAACAGCCGCGGGCGGACGTGACTCTCGGGCTTCACTCACTCGGCGTGTGACAGACAGCGCGTCGTGGAGGAGAGTGTGTCAGAGAACGTCCCGCTGGGGCACCGTGTGCACCTCACATCTCTGTCGGCTGTCCCTGAGAATAACACCAAAACATGTGGCCATTTAATGGCATTTCACTATCAAAACACTAAAACATTAACCATGCATACTGCATGTGACAGGTTTGAGAGTGTATTTGGTTGGCTTAGACCTTTGAGGCAGATGTAAGCGATCAATATCAGGATGGGTGCTAGTTATTATGAGGAAAGTGTATTTATGATAAACACAGTGAAAATATCAGTTTCTGTACCTTGAATGGACACTCCAAAACCGGGCCTGCACGACCTGTACTTGCTACATGCTGTGCAGAACGGGTCATCAAATCCCATGCTGCAAAACATGCCAGGTTGGCACACACACCTTGAATTTTCAGTAGGGGAGCAGACCTGGGCTTCCTTCAGCCCTTTCTCTGGTTGTATGTAGAGAACAATGTTTTGCTTAATTATGGGTCGAAAAAATAAAGCAATAAAATACATATATATTTTAGACAGTGCAGATACTGACTCTCTTTGCATTGGGTACAGGAGAAGCAGTTCGGAGAGTAGTTCCAGCTCTCTATGAACAGGCGTGGTTGGCATCGTTCACACACAGTCTCAGTAGTTTCGGAGCATTTTTCACTCTGCCGGTGTCCTGTTACGACATATAACGTATTTTGGTTTGATCAAAATAAATCATCATATATTCACACATTCTCATATTTTATCATGTGGGAGGTAAGTGATTACGTACATTACTGATAATGCAATCAGTAGTGTTCATTTAGAAAGGGATTCTTTTTGCCTAGTAGTTAGTTGAGCACACATTTTTCAGCTGAAAGGCGTTCGAAATAAACACATGATGCTGAACTCACTGCGAGGTAGGATGCAAAAAGATTAACCGAGGTCAACATCTCAGGGAACATGTCTAACATGGATACGCGGGACAACATAAGGATTCCTGCTTAGATATTAGAGGCTTTTAGACTAATGTTAGCAGCTTTTTCCGGCTCTGTTGCGTTTGAAGTTTACTCTCCAGCAATCACAGTTTTCAGTTGACTTTGTTGGACAAAGTATGTTTGAGCAACACTATACTCATTGGTATATTTTACACAAACGATCTCTTCATGCTGTCTCTCAGGATGAAACCATGAATGTGATGAAAGCTGCTTTAGGTGTTAACTTTTAAACAAACACGCCCAAACTTTTATCAACATGTTTCACGCCGACAATGCCTTTTACGGCCTTGGCACGAGTCCAGTATTAGTAATTCTAGAAACCTTTATAAATTGCAGTCATTTACCAGGGGGGCATTTCTTGCAGCACAGGTTTGTATCGTCCAACAGGTACTCTGTCGTTGAGTTGAGACAGTTTCCATCTGAGTCCGCCTGGTAAGGCTGAGAGCAGACCTATGGAAAAAGAGACAATACATGACAGCAACTCATCCGGTGCTTTTCAGATGAACAGAGCGAAGAACATTTACATCTTTTCTTGCAATGCTCTGATACAACGCTGCAATAAGTCTGCTTGGGGGGGTTTCAACTAACAAGTAATTTTGAAAAGACCCATGAGTCCCTACTTCCTTATCGGACTGACATTTCTACAGGTGGAAATTTAGACAAATCTACAATTAAGTCATTGCGTGACAACAGTTAAACAGAAGCAGTGAAAAGAAGGGAGCTTAAAATAGTCCCCGACTCTCCACAGGAGAGGCCACAATTTCCCCCTCGGGTAATGCTGTCGGCCCGAGCCGCAGGCCGGGTCAGACAAGCCCTCATTGTTCAGACATCGTAGGAGGTGCATTTCACCTCAGCAGTATCTCTTCCTGTCTGTGGGGGGACTCTGAAATGTTCGAGCTGAGGGCTCTGCACAAATCGTCCACGCAGCTGTGTGTCCAATGAAGAAGCTAGAACATGCTGACAGAAAGATTGTATTTCTCGTATAACAGGAAACAGAGGCGGCAAGCTCGCAGCGCTCGGCACAGCGGTGACTCCGGCTGTGGTGTGACCACCGGTGGCACGGGATGTGATGACAAGGACACACTTCTGTGAAGCTACAGGTGAATAATTACTGTCAGCTCATCGAAGACAACACTCGGGTTGTCCTGCCCTTCCGGCCGGCTGCAGGCCTAAACCAACCTCTTCATTGAAACGCACAAGGAAGCCGGACAGCAAAAGTTCTAAGTGTGACGACCGAATCAGGATGTTGAGTAATTGAAACTGAATATTCAAAATCTCACCACAGTGAAGGTTTCTACTGTAACCGTGTCACACACACACATGAAAAACTGGCATCAATAGAGAAACAATGGGTTTTTAATTTAGCTTTATAGCACAAACTTTGATTATTTATTTATTTTTTAAACCTATTTAACATTACCCGTCTATGAATGAATCCAAGAACATCAAACAATTGACTTAGTCACTGTGTAGTGAGCTGGGAACCAGAATAATGCGGATGCTGGCTGGAAGCCAGCCTGATCAGAGTTCCTAAACACGGCTCACACGCATGACAGACTTACACGGACAGACGGACACGAAACCTACCTTAAGAGTCTGAACATGCAGCAGAAGCAGCACTACAAGAATCTCCTTCATCGCCTCTTTATAGCAAACCGTAGACTGTGGAGGATAAAGGTAACAGCGGGTGCGCTGATCATTTTAGAAAGCCGCCGACTGTGTGAACAGAAAGGAATTTCCTTGAAGTGAGCCGAGAGAGTTCGGAGGAAGGAAATGAGGTGGCAGGCTCTAGCCTACATTCACCAATGAGTGAATAAGCATAATGAGGTTTGAGAGTTTGAATGAGGTTGAACACTCATACTGGACTTCCACATGACAGACAGTAGATATTTACAGAATTAACTAAATCAATTATTTTTAAGTTTTATTTGCAGCTTATTAAGAGGAAAAACAAAATACCTGTAAAAAGTTTCCACAGCCCATTCGAAGTTTCGAAGTCTTTACCAGGGGATTTGAATGAATTACCTGGTTGCATTAATAACCCCTTTTAACAGGAAACTCGCAGCCAGTTGGTGTGAGTAATCATGCAGACTTTCCCTCAAGCATTTCTTTATAACAGCCAACGTTTGGTGATCTGATTCACTGTAAAACATTGCACAATATTGTAAACCTTTTATTCAAATGACCTGGTCCCACTAGTGGAATCTAATTAGACAAAGCCCCTACATGGCTAATTCAACATCTCATTTCATCATTGATAAATTACTTTGAACGGCACAAAGGCTGCAGAAAAAGGACTCCAAAGGCCCCAGGTTAAGTTCGGTCACCTTACTGCTCGCATTGAAGCCAACATCACCTCCACTTTACTCTTTGATCTCCCCGTGGGAATGAAGTCAAACAAGGGCACAAAGCTTAATGCTTAATGCATTCAACTTATATTGTACTCTGACAATTGCCTGACTAGTGTGATCCTGTGTGACACGTTGACATTTCACAATAAAGTTCCCCCTCCCACATTCGACATTTTGCTGCTACTCAAGTGCAACAGTAAGAAGCTCGGTTATCAACTGTTATGCTTTGTTTGTTATAGTACAATGCTTTCATCGTGCAACTCTGAGGGAATTTGGTGTCATACCGGGTTGGTTGCTACAGTATAAAAACGTGACCAGCGGAAGCAGAACCTTTTTTTGTTATTGTTTTTTTGTGTTCTCTATTTGGCCTACTTTCAGGTTTACTCATCTTGTATACTGTACGCTGCTGCAGAGTAATTGCAAATTGCCGTGCAAGAAGCACAATGGTTAGGGTTTGGATATGATAAGACTTTAAACTTGTTTCAAGTAGATATGAACATTCTTTTCTTGCTGAAGCCACATACTTGTATTGGTATTGCATGGTACAGATTTTTCCCATCAGTCTGATATGCTGAACTGAAAACAGTACACGCAGAAAGTTTCACAGTGAGAGACGTATTTGCTGTTAAGTAAGGACGTTTCAAATCCTGTTAGCTATACTGTGTGAAATGGAAACAGATGGAACAGTTGTCTGAAAGTAGAAAATGCTATTCGCTTTAGCAAGACAGTCCTTTGAAAGATGACTGGTATTGTTTATGATTTGAAGGAGGTAAAAATAAGAAGGTGATAAAGACACTGCTACGGTCAGCATCTGCAGTTGTTCTTACGGGTAAAGTAAGTCACCCATTTTATCATCTGATCACTACCCAGTGATACCAGAGCACAAAAATATGCATGACACATAATTATTTTAAAATAATAATGATGACATAATGACGCCACAAGCCACATTTTCCTCAAAACCATTTGCGGTAACAAAAGAAAATCACATTTCACATCTCCCACAAAGCGTTGCTCTTGTATCATCCCGCCCTCTCTGTTCTAAGATGACGATCGCCCAGCTAGAACCAAGCTCACGGCCTCGGAGAAAGGCCTTTGTGCTACAACCCTCAAGAGCAACTGAAAAAACACATTCTAAATCTATTTATATATATATTCCTGTCAACTTATCAACAACAAATAACACTACAAATATTTCCTTCACTTAAGAGTTAATTCTATTGGTCATCTTTGTGACATTTTATTGATACGATCTGACTTTTTCGAATACGTACCTGCAAGACACGAACCGGAAAACTGGATAGAACAATTCGTACATTAGTCAGTGTTTCTTGTCTTGGCCAGGATGAGTCAGAGGAAGTTAAAAACAGAAGTATGCATACACCTCGCAGCCCGAACAAACTGTTAGCAACTAAAGGAAGGATTAAAAATCACTTCCTCAATGTTGAGAAATTTTGCAGTGCTAACTTGATTCTATAACCGTCTCTGCGTTTTTCAGTTTGAGTTACTTTTGCTTTACTTTGAGACGGCGGACAGTTTCATTATGGAGTCTAAATGTGTCCCCACTGTTTGTTATCAGTTCAGATCAGGACAAATAAAACTCCTCATGAATGAAATATACTTGTCTGTTGTGTCCTCAATTTGTATTATTATTATTATTATAAGCATGTAATGAAGCGGCTATATAATTAATCGCATAATGTATATGTAAATAGACAGAAAACAACATAACAATACATTTCATACCATGAAAGCTCATGTTTGAAAGGAATATATTTATGATTAGGCACAAATGGCAGTGGGTTCTCCTTCGGGATCACTGTTTAATTGTTTTATGTAGGAAATCTAATTGTAACATAGTAATTTAACAGATATTACAGAAAATATTCTGATAAAAAAACAGCACATTACACGGACTAAAACATGAGCACAAAAAAATGTCTCAGGAGCCACTATCATCACTTTTCTTGTCAGTGCAAAGGGTAAAACATGGTTCCTCGTTTTCTTTTGGAAGAAAAGTGTTGGAAGTTGTGACGAGCCAAACGGGACACCTCAGGGATCTGGTCGGCGATTTTACCAGACACTTTGGGTGCATTGAGTTCCTGAAAAATATTATTATTTAATTATTAAAAGATTCAACATGAATACTTTTCTTTTACGTTGTTTTATAACAATAATAAAAACGTCATTACATTTTCCTGGTACACAATATTGTGCATGCTTGTTCACTGTTATTGCTTACTGGGACACTTGTTTTAGCTGCACAATTCCTTTTCCCTCTACGACATGTGTGAAAAAGAAGAACAAGCTTTATTACCTCCAGTTCCTTGTCTTGCGACTCTGTGGAGCTCTTTGTATGCAGACTGCTGCGCAGATCGAGGCTGCTGGGCGGCGGCAGGGTGCTCTGACCTGTGTTGGACCAGCCTGAGAGACAGTGCTGGAGAGGAACAGGGATGCACCGAGGTCAAGGGTGACTCCAGTCAGTGTTCCCACAGACTAATTTGTGTGTTTGTGATTCAACACCCACACCCACACCCACACACACACCCCCACACGTCTTTTTTTTAGCAAGCCTCGCAAAATCTGTTGCTCCGGCAGAAGTTGCAGACTTTGCGCCTGTAGGCTGTAACAACAAGTAGTATAGGGTGTAAAATAGGGTGTAAAAACTACAGCTATGGGAGTTGCATATACTGTGAAATGTGTATAGTTCTATCTAGCGATGTGCGTGGGAAACACTGCCAGTGCACTTAAAAGTAAGCCGTTTTTTTTTTTTACGTGAAGATCTCAGAAGGTAAATCGCACAGATATGAAGTCATAAATTGTCACGCAGTGGGGTCCCTTACTCACCGATGGTAACCCCAAACTATCAGAGGGGTCAAAACTGCATCGTCGATGGGCTTTGTACTTGTATGGTGGCAAGAGGGTCGAGCGAGGGATGCTGACCCTTTCAACAAAATACACAAAAAAAAAAAAAACCTCATGAGGAAACGACACGCTGCTACGGTCTTAAAATGTGGTGATTTTTATATAATACATGAACATAAGAAATGTGGACGGCATTGCATCGGTTTTGCCTCACTCAGCACTGAGATTATATTCTTAAATTGTTACGTAATAGCTGATATATTAGTCATCCTCAAAAAGGGAAATGGCGACTACTGAGGATCCTGACCCAGACTAAATAAAAAGGAATAATAACCCAGTATAAAATGAGTCAGCATCACTCACATGTTGAGTGCTCTTCTGTTCCAAAGGGGTCAAAATTCAGTTTGGGGCACATGATCGTTACCTGATGAGAGCCGGCTCAGCGCTCGTGTGAGGATGGGATGATTTGTGCTCTTTGCACACCGGGCAGCACTCCTTAGCGTGAAGTGGGACAGGAAACAGTCTGCTGTTAATCCTGTAAGAAAACGTACCTGAAGAACAAGATGAGAATAGCTTCGACCATCAGAAAAAGAATAAATGAGAAAAGATATTGAAATAAATTACCCCACTTACATTGGTGAGTATGCTTGTTAGCCTCTGGATGGTTCTTGTCTGAGAGCAGCGGCAGGAGTGAATGGTTCTCTTCAGGAAATCTATAAGGAAAGAACACGAATGGTCATTTAATGAAGCCATCCTCAATCAAGGCAAATCAGGCAATCAAAGGGGAAGTGCTCACTCCGCTTGTTTGCTGTGGACACACTTGTCTTTATTGAGCGATCGAAACGTGTGCAGGTCATTGAAGAACTCATCAGAGCGCTCTATCAAGGAGTCCTCAGCATCCAGGACTCCTAGGAGGGGACAAGCATCACCGGTCAGGGCTTTATGAGAGGATTGGTTCTAGAAGATCGAACCCAGACCCGTAAGGCGTACCTGCTATCCAGTCGTATCCGAGTAATGGCTGCAAGCGATGCCGGTCTGAGGCGGATGTCCCTTCACATTCATCAGGCAGAAATGTGACTCGACTGCAAACCTCGCTCTACAAAATCAAACAAGCGGAGCAGATTATTATGGTTACATACTCTTCTGAAGTCAAAAATCCAACTTCATACAAAATCGACACGCATCAACATGCAGAGCCTTGTTGCTTCACCTGCTTTTCCTCCTAAACAGCTAAAAGACTTACATGTATTAACTAACCGGGCTGACAAAAGACTACTGTAGAGTAGTTAGTGAACAGAGCAGGGCATTCTTATTTCCACGTGAAAAACAAGACAGAGATTTAGCTAGGAACCCTCCCAGAGACAGGTGCAGTGAGTTGAGTGAGCGCACATGAGTTACTTAGTTTTGACAATGCATCCTACCATAAGATATAACTGAGATTTGAGGGGAAAGGTGAGGGTTGCGCTGACGATAATCAGGAAACATTTATTCCCACAATATGTCAGACATATAAGGAATTTAAGAGCAGACAGTACGACAATGGACGACAAGACAACAGTGCACAAGGAATAAAATAAAATATAATGCTTAGTTTAGTTAAAAATATAAAAAAATTAAAAATAAAGTGCACCAGCGAACAGAAAGTGACAAGTGAAAGTGACCAGTGGAATGACAGAGTCAGACAGCGGGGGACCAACTGCCGACGGGGAGAAACTATTTGTGTGGCGGGAGGTCTTGGTCCTGATGTACCTCAGCCTTAGACCCTAAATTATATCGCTTATAACAAAAAACAAACACAAACGAACCTGAGCAGAGTGTCCTGGCTCCTTCAGTCCCATCTGTTCTTTGCTGTGATTTACTAGACAGGACTTGGTGGCTGATGGATCCACTCGCTGCAGCCTGCTGTGTGTGAAGGGATGTCTGTCGCGGTCTCTGGAAAGGCCGGATGGGGCTGCATGGTCAGCAGTGCCTCTTCTGCATGTGGAGCTCAAAGCAGGTGTTGAATCATGGCTGGCTCCTGTTTGTCTCGCACATGTATCTGATGGAAACAGATTTCCAAATAAAGCAACGACAACTTAATGTCCAACATAAATTGTAAGAGAGATCGTAAAGTCCAGCGTCCGTAGATATCAGATGAAAAAAAATCTGTAATTTCACCGAGGCGTTAGATTTTCTTTAAGCATATTTCAGCATTCAACAGCTATGAATGCATCATCCAGGTTTACATTTTCAGGGGTGTATGGTCACACGCACATATTTGCGACATATTCATGTCAGTGTGGAACTGCCGTGCGTGGAAGAACATTTTAAAAATATATGTTTTAATTATAAATCTTTTTTTATATTTTAAAAATATTCTTTTGTGTGTATGTTTATTTTTTTTAATTTTATTTAATTGCACACTATTTATTCAGCCAGGAAGTAATTCCACGGGGGAGGGCGCCCCCAGGTTATGGTTGGGGAAACACTTTGGTTTGGTCATCTGACCAAACGTTGTCTCCATGACAACTAACGTAAAACATTCCTCTACCCGCTGAAATGACGTTAATGGGTCCGGGGGAAAGCTCATGGGTCGACAGCTAAGTTAACGTTTCTTTACTAACGTCAAGCCAACTAGAATAATACAAATACGGTAATTTAACGCCTGGCATGCCCCCCTAAACCCCTTTTATTCCCCCCGTGAATTCGCTTCATTCATCCTGGTCGGTGTTTACATGCCGCCGGCGGGCAAAGTGCACGAGGCACAGCGGACACTCGCCGACCAGATACGGCGTGTGGAGCGGACCAACCCGGACTCTTTAGTTATTGTCCTCGGGGACTTTAACAAAGGAAATCTCACCAATGAACTCCCTAAATACAGACAGTTTATTAAATGCCCCACCAGAGAGGAGAACACGCTAGATCACTGTTACACCACAGTCAGCAGGGCTTATCACGCCGTCCCTCGTGCTGCACTGGGACACTCTGACCACGTCATGGTCCATCTGATTCCTGCATACAGGCAGAAACTAAAGCTCTGCAAACCTGTGGTGAGGGAATTCAAGAAGTGGACCAGTGAGGCGCTGGAGGATCTTCGGGCGTGCTTTGACTGCACAGACTGGGATGGTTTCAGGACTGCTACTGACAGTCTGGATGAGTTCACAGAGGCTGTAACTTCCTACATCGGCTTCTGTGAGGACAGCTGTGTACCATCATGCACCAGGGTGAGTTACAACAACGACAAACCCTGGTTCACAGCGGAACTCAGAACACTACGCCTGCAGAAGGATCAGGCATTTAGGAGCGGGGACAAAGACTTGTACACAGAGGCAAAATACAAGTTTAGCAAGGCGGTGAGAGACGCTAAACGACTGTACTCTGAGAAACTCCAACAACAGTTCTCAGCAAGTGACTCTGCTTCGGTTTGGAGAGGCCTCAAACACCTCACCAACTACAAGCCAAAAATTCCCCACTCCATGAATGACCTCCGCCTGGCAGACGAGCTCAATGAGTTCTACTGCAGATTTGAAAGACAATGTCCTGATCCCATCCCCCACAGCTCCACCAACCTGCTGCAGTCACCCTCCTCTCCCTCCCCCAGCCCATCAGGTGCTCACGCCTCTTCATCATTATCACCTTCCCCTCCCCCACCAGCAACGACCCTCTCTATTCTGGAGAGAGACATTAACCGGCTCTTTAGAAGACTAAATCCCCGTAAGGGAGCCGGTCCGGACTCCGTTTCCCCTCACTCCCTGAAGCATTGTGCTGACCAGCTGTCTCCGGTGTTCACTGACATCTTCAACACCTCCCTGGAGACATGCCACGTACCAGCCTGCTTCAAGGCCTCCACCATCATCCCTATCCCCAAAAAGCCCAGGATCACAGGACTCAATGACTACAGGCCCGTCGCCCTGACCTCTGTAGTCATGAAGTCTTTTGACGGCTAGTCCTGACCCACCTGAAGTCCCTCACCGACCCCCTCCTGGACCCCCTGCAGTTCGCCTACAGAGCCAACAGGTCTGTTGACGATGCTGTCAACATGGCCCTCCACTACATCCTCCAGCATCTGGACTCCCCAGGAACCTACGCCAGGATCCTGTTTGTGGACTTCAGCTCTGCTTTTAACACTATCATCCCGTCTCTGCTGCAGGACAAACTCTCCCAGCTGCACGTGCCCGACTCCACCTGCAAGTGGATCACTGACTTCCTGTCTGACAGGAAGCAGCACGTGAAGCTGGAGAAACATGTCTCAGCCTCTCGGACCATCAGCACCGGTTCCCCCCAAGCCTGCGTTCTTTCCCCTCTGCTCTTCTCCCTGTACACCAACAACTGCACCTCCAGTCACCAGTCCGTCAAGCTCCTGAAGTTTGCGGATGACACCACCCTCATTGGACTAATCTCTGGTGGGGACGAGTCCGCCTACAGGTGGGAGTCTGACTATCTGGTGTCTTGGTGCAGTCAGAACAACCTGGAGCTCAACGCTCTAAAGACAGTGGAGATGGTTGTGGATTTCCGGCGGAACAGAGCCCCAACCTCCCCCATCACCCTGTGTGACTCCCCCGTCACTATTGTGGATTCCTTCCGTTTCCTGGGCTCCATCATCACCCAGGACCTCAAGTGGGAGCTGAACATCAGCTCCATCACCAAGAAGGCTCAGCAGAGGTTGTTCTTCCTGAGGCAGCTGAAGAAACTCAACCTGCCAAAGACGATGATGGTCCACTTCTACACGGCCATCATCGAGTCCATCCTCTGCTCCTCCATCACCGTCTGGTACGCTGCAGCCACAGCCAAGGACAAGGGCAGGCTTCAGCGTGTCATCCGCTCTGCAGAGAGGGTGATCGGCTGCAATCTGCCGTCCCTGCAGGACTTGTTCGCTTCGAGGTCTCTGAAGCGAGCTAAAAAGATCGCGGCCGACCCCTCCCACCCCGGACATAAACTGTTTGTGCCCCTTCCATCTGGCAGGAGGCTGAGGTCCATCAGGACTACGACCTCCCGCCACACGTACAGTTTCTTCCCGTCGGTAGTCGGGCTCATCAACAGAGCCCGGTCCCACACTGTCTGACTATAACACTCCACCGGTCACTCCCCTTCACACTGCACATGCCACTTTAACTGCAATTCATCACTTTGTCACTTGTCACTTTGTCTCTTGTCTCTTACTTGTTTGTTAGTGCACTTTATGCTTAATACTTTTCAACTTTTTAATATTTAAAATTTGTTTAACTTTATTCCCTTGTTTTTTTACTAACCCATATCCTTAGCCTTATTCTTACCCATTGCATTAGCATTTCATTCCACTTTATTTTATTACCTGTGCACTGTTGTCTTGTCTGTCTACTGTCGCGCACTAACCGCCAAGACAAATTCCTTGTATGTTTGACATATTTGTTCCTAAGCACCGGTTTTATATGACAACATTGATAGCTAGTAAGGTTAGCTAACTCAGCTCATACCTTTGTCTTCTCTACGGTTTTATTTACCTGCAAATCTTACAGTAGGTCTGGCGAGGGCGGCACCTCGGTGTCCACCGGTGAGGACACCTGCTGGCTCCCGCCTGTCCTCCGCCTCGTCTTCTCTCCCTCTCTTGCGGCTCCGACTGCAGCCGCCGAGCCGCTCGAGCTCCTCTCGCTGCTGCTTCAATCGGTTCAATAAATCTTTGTTACGGTGCCGCAAAACGTCCAGTCGGTCTACGGGGGACATTTTTTTCTTCTTCTAAATAACGCGTTTAAATCACATTTATCCAGATGAGAAGGGAACAACAAGCAAATGTTCCATCCACTTGTTTTTTTAAACCAGACTCCACCAGCGGCCTCCTAACAACGTGTTGACAACACTGATGTGATTGGCTGTTAGCGGTCTACCCGTCATGCATTGCAGCCATCCGCGGTTTTATGTTAAAGAGACAGACACATATTTTATTTGAGTTACATGGCAAGATTTTGAACAGGAGAGGGCGCTGTTTATTGAACTAGTGATAATATTATATACCCGTTTATTATGTTCTATTCAAACAGTCGTCCGGTGATGTTCTATATTTTTGTCTTCAAATTACATGTTACATGTTATGTAATTCTGACTAAAGGGAATAAAACAAAGAGTGTGTTGCAGCCCTACAAAGCTGCAACTAAGCATAAACCAAACCACGACGGACGGCGAGATAACAGGGACAAAATAGAAAACTATATTAGGTAAAGAGATGAAACTTCTGGGCACAAGGTTAAAAAAAGAAACTCCTACAAGCAAAAATCCAAAAGATATGCCAGAATAACATAACAAGCCCAGGAGTAAAAGTATGAGTGGATATCTGCTTGACCAGGTTTACATGAGTTACATTTTTAAAGAGAATCTCGGAAAATCAGTATTTAGTTATACCCGCTTAAAGATGTGATGTACAGCAACATATTATCCATTTTACTCATCATCAGAAGACAAATGCCACTATGTCTGCACATTGTCAGAAAGGTACTACAACCCTCTTAGGGGTTTGATGCCCTCCTTGTCTGGGGGGAGGACAAATGTCACGCGACAGGGAACTTCAATTTTTTCAAAATGTCAGGTGAGGAGTTAACCAACCCGCTATGTGCACAAACCTGTAAATCGCGGAAAATTATAGACTGTGGCATTGAAATTACATTTGAACTTCTCTCATTTCAGCCTTTTGAATTTCACAGTCAGTGGTCTCTTTAGGATCTGCAGCTGGGAAGATCTCATGCAAAGCAATGCAGAGGCTGAGCCACCAATTCTACCGACGAAGAACGCAATGTTCACTTTTCATAGTCACTTTCAGAGGGATGTTGATTCCAGCCGTGACAGCTTTTGGCTCTGGTTTTCTCCTTGTAAATCTGTGTGTGTGTGTGTGTGTACGTGTGTTGTCATGGGTACATGTGTTACTGGAGGCATCCCGCAGAGACAGGTTTGAGTACTTTGCGATGTGTTTATATGTCTGTGCGCGTTGCAACCTTAAAGAGCAAGCTGTGATCTAAGTGAGTGGACTGTAACTAGCGGGCTAGGAAGTAGGAAAAGGGGCCCCTGGAACAATTCCACGTCTAAAGTTTGTCTTTATTTTTACTTTGTGTTTATTGTGCAGCTTAGGTTGGTCTACATATTATTTTCCTTTTTTCCCCCACCCCATTGCAAACATAATTTTTCTCTGTCTATGTCTGACATATTATGGCAATAAATGTTTCCTGATTCCTGATTCCTCTGATTTCCTCAATACGGTGTCGGCCATAGGTTTGTTTTGGGGGGATCAACATGTTGGTTTCCTCCCCTTTGTATCGCTGAGAGGACAACCTGTGCTTCTCAGCCTCTCCTAAGTGGCTTAATGACATTAGTTTAGTTACGTTAAACCTGTCCATCCGTAGAGACGCTAATGACAGCGTTGCAGGGTCACAGCCATAATCATATCCCTGATCCCCACCCACCCCCCCGTGGAGCCAATGGTGTGCAAATGCGTGGGCAAGCTGCTGCTTGGTACTCCAGTCACGGCTCGTTTACATTGAGAGCTGTCCAAGCCAGTCCAGTATGATTAGTTGACCACAGCAGTGTGGAGTTGAACCCCATTATCATTAAACGGTGGCAGTCGTGAAGCCATACACTCCTCCCTGTCTCTCTAATTACACCCCCACTGTTGGGCTGCGCGCAATTACTGCCTGCCGCCAGAACGCTTCATCGTTCATTAGGCACAGATAACGGACACAACAACAGCAAAAACACAAGAAAAAGAGTTACTCCTAAATCTGAAAATTATTTTGAGAAAATGTAAAAAGGTGTGTTTTGGTGTCAAAAATCAAAATAAGTCAGATGGATCAATATTTTTACTTTTCTTTTTATATATTGTGTAGAGACATCATCTCATCTCTGTCATTGTCGGGTCCTTTTCAGTCTAATTATAATATCTTGTCTTGCCGTTTGTTTTACATTCATTGTACTAACTGTATACTTTAAAAAAGAGGAGCTTCTTAATAGAATGGAGCTTGGTGTAATAACAAAAGCTGACTTGTCGAATCAGTCTGACTTAACAATTTGACAAAATAAACCCAAGACTATATTTTATCACATGTTTTATTGCACATAATATTGCCTCTTAGTAACAATCAAAGTTAAAGTTTGGAGGGATAAAACATGTGTGTGTATTTTCTATTTGGAACGTATCAGTTAATCATAATAACAAGTCCAGCTTACTAAAGTATGAAAAAAATATGCTAATCCATCAAAATGAACATTTCACAGGAACCAGGTGAGGCTTTCGGGTCTCCTATTTATGACCCTTTACGTTGTCGTCCTCAGTATACTGCATATCTCTGTTGTTTTCTAAATGTCTGATATTTGTGTTGTTAGTTACTAATTAACTAAGCTGTTATATGTGGGAATGATTGGGCTTGTGTGACTGTTCATTGGAACATCAATTAGCTTTGTTTACAAGTTTGCAAATTTCATTATATTTTGTAGCATGTAAATAAGAGGGCTAAATGTTTTCTTTGAAAAAAGACGATTTTCTAGTTTCCTCATAATAAAGAAGCTGACACTAAATTACACACAGAAAAACACCGCACAGAACTAGACACATAAATAGCGCAGTGAGATCAGTACAAAATTGGAAGGTTGTATCAAATCATACCTAAACCATTATTGTCAGGATTATCAGGCTTTTTACTGATAAACAAGGAAATCACCACCTTCCGATTGGAGGACGAAGACAGAATTACACCAAAAATGTATTGGTAAAATAAATTGTATTTAAGTTAAACAATTGATTTGTATTTGCCTCAAGTTAACCAACTGTTGGATATCCATCTGGTTAAATGTCGTTATATGTAAAACACTGGTTTTAATTTTACATTCTTACTTTTAAGAACAGTAAAACATCATTTCCATACCTTCCACAGCCTAACTGTTGAGAAATTGTGTTGGTATACAAACCACACTGTGGGAGGGTTTGAAAAGAAAACGTGGCATCACCACATGGTCTCTGCTTTTTATCCAATCAGAAAAGTGTCTCCTAACTCCTTTGTCCAACTGCTTCAATGTAAACTAAAGAAGGCAAAGGATAATAACCCAAAGCCAAGGTACACATTCACCCTGTTAACCATGTGTTAGGTGTCTGTGTGTGTGGGTGTGTGTGCGTGCACGTGTGTGCGCTCGTGGTTCTCACAATAAAATGGGCCATTAGTCCTTTTAAAAGCAGCTACGTCTCCCAACCAGCCGCTTATATTTTCCTGGAACCAGGCATATCCAAATAAATGCCAGTTAGGTAAGACTGTGACAAAGCACAAGAAGACGAGGTCATATCAGAGAGCAACGGAGCAGCTGAGGAGCGGGTTGGAGAGGGAGGGGGATCTGACTAACAGGATTGGTGAGCGAAGTGTTTTTTGCTGATAAAGAAAGGGAAAGGGGTCGATTTTACCCGCCACTGGAGAGATAGAGGTGGATGCCATTAAGATAAGGTGGATTAGACCTGCCGCCTCGCTGTTCTCGCTGCTACAACCCGAGGAGGAGAGTAAAACATCCCATCCGGTGTGTTGTCACGTTTCGGTGAGACTGCTTCATGTGGAGTTGAGAGGATGCGGGTTGGAATGGTGTGTATTGGATTTGTCCCATGGGTGGATGAAGTATTCATCACTTTAAGTAAAGTTTCAATACCACAGTATTCAATGAAAAGTAAAAGTCCAGGAATAAATATGTCACTGAAGTCAAAGGCTGATTGCGGCTTCATGCGCTGTTCATTCGGTCTTCTTTGTGTCTCTTTGACCCGACAGATATATTCACTAATGGAGACCAGACTTCTCAACCAGCTGAATATTCCATCCTCAATGGTCTATTTATACTGTTGTTACGGCAAGTTTAACAAAGTAATACGCATCAACAAATGTCGACATAAACACGTACTGACACTAATACAAACTTAACATTTTCCATATAGCAGGCCCTGCATAAGTAGCCAAGTGCCCTTTTAAACGGCCTGTCTTTAGATGTTGTTGTTCCAAAGAATTATGCCCGGTCACGCTCAGGTTCGGCCTGTGCGAGTAGCAAGAAGAAAGGCAATGAAAATGTCCAGAGCGATCGCGCAGTTGTTGCCCGTATTTCAACACGTCACACCTGGAAGCGGTGATTTAATGTCCGCTGATTGACGAGACGAGGCGGGAGACCACGAGGTCTGCTTCAGGTCCGGCTCCCCGTGAGTTAGTCAGCAGTGGGACTTCGCGTCGGGGGCGCTTTCTTGTCACCGCTGTGCTTAATGAGCCGTGTGCTCCTCCGTGAGTAACTGCTATGTTCTCCTCCTTCGATTTACTGCATCTGTTTTAATGGGCCTCGGCCTTTGTTTTTCGTGGCCGAGGGACGGCGATGAATCCAACAGAACGCCACCCGGCTGACAAGAGAGTGTGAGGACGGCCGACGCTGTCTGCCTCAATCGATGCCTCTATTTCATCCAGCGAAACAGCCTTATGTAGGCGGGCTTGTAGCATTGTTAGTATTTGTAAGGATACAAATGTAAGATAGTACCACCTCGTCACAATGAATGAGCTTCTTGCTGGGTCGTCGTGGTGCAGGGGGTAGAAAGGGTGCGCTCGGAACCACAAGGTTGGTGGTTTGAGTCGCGGCTGCCCCACGTCCCATGTCGAAGTGTCCCTGTACAAGACACCTAAGTGCTCCCCGGGCAAAATGTATCGCTTTGGACAAAAGCATCAGCTAAATGACCTGTAATGTAAAAAAACAGCCTTTAAGCTTTAATTAAATGAATACGTAAAACTCTGGGCTGAAAAGGCTGACTCAGTTATAATTGATGCGTAAGAAGGGGAGAATGTAAAGCACTTGACAATTGTCAAGCTCAAAAATAGGGATTTCAGGCAAAAAGAAAAGCCAGTAACAATAAATGTGTTAAATGCTGATTAATTAATCCGACTGGAAAGACAAACACGTCGTTGTCATATCGAGGTCTTCTGTTGAAATCTCAGAAAAGAGTCATTTGGTTGTGAAACCTGGAATTCGATATCATTGTGCAGTAAAAACTGCACAACGATTTTATAAACTGTCATCGAACAGCGACATCCTTCTCTCTCCAGTTTCCAAGAACAGGTAATATTTTCTATTACAGGCTTTTAGCAAAGTTGAGATGGTATTCATCAACAACGCTCTAATTAAAAAGCTTTCAAGCTTGTTTATCAGATCGACTAATCATTGTGGCAACCCAGTATTTGTTTGTGGCTGGTGTGATGATAAACATATACGGCCTTACAGCAAATGAATCAACAATAATCACATTTTAGGTTCCCTACTTTAAATGCAATTAGACTCTTTTCTTTTAATTAAAGTCTTGGGAGGATGAAAAAAAAAAGAGGATACTGTCCATGACATGCAATATCCAGGCTGCAAACCGCACCAAAGGTCCAATTTTTACCAGCTTGTTTGAAGTTAGTTTACCACAAAACAAGCCAAACCCTTTCTGACAATGGTGCAAGAGCAGGAAACCCAAAACACAACTGGCAGGAGGCAAAAGGTTGTGACTTAACCAGCACAGCATCGCTCTGAAAGGAAACAGGGACGGAAAGAACACCAAAGCAACCAACCCTTTAAAAGCATGAGTTTCTTCTTCTTCTTTGAATTAATGAAGTAGAGATCCATTAGTGAGAAGATAACTAAATAAAAAAGCTTTCAGAAGCCTGAATCCAACATTTTCTTAAATTTCGTTGTTTTTTTAACAGCAGTCGCATGGGCAGGCGTATGCGTTTCGTGTTTGCTGTGCATGCACCACAATGTGTGCAGCATGACTTCATAGTTCACATGGACGGAAAGTTGACCTAAACTACTTATGCTTGATTACATGTGCTCTCTTGGCCTTTTCTGATTCCTTTGAGGACATCTCTCCCCGCAGGGACATCATGTGGACCTCGAGCGGCCATTGAAGAGCGTGCTCGCATGTGACATGATTTGACTCACCTTAGAAGATGAATTAGTATAAATAATTTGGAATTTGATTAACACTATATTTAAAGCCTACGCAGCTAGAGTGTTTTATTTTGAGTGAATATTTTGATTTATTTTATGACCTTTTCCTAGTTGCAGGATTATTTAACAAAGTGATTATCCTTGAACATAAAAGAAAGAATGTTTTCAATTATTGCAAAATTCTCAAATGTATGTTTTCGGTTACTTTATTTGAGGGAATAACAGGTTTAGACCCGAATGCAGATAAAGTGATGAGGCGGGGAGCGTTTTAATGATTTCATGAAAAGATGCCTTTGGTAATCACCCAGTTTGCATCCAGCCGCAAACTGCATAGGTTCCAGAAACAACCTCCACACAACACTTTCAAGAAAAACAAGTGCCGTAGTATCAGGTTGTGCTTCCCTACCGTTGACCACGAGGTTAGGAACTATGAGGAGATCCTGCCACCCGGAAGTGTTCCTCCCTTAATAAAGGACAGCTTAACTTCGAAGTAAACAACTGTCATCTTGTCAGGGATCAAGCAAAAAAGAGAGTCACTGCATTCTTCCTTCAGTCCATTTCAGTGTTTGACTGTTTACTTCCAGAGAAGTCTGCCTGCATCAGGAATGAGGAACACTTATTGCCAAAATATGTTAGACATACAAGGAATTTGACACCTCCACTAACACGAGGTCTTTAGAAAAAGAGGACAGGAAACACTAAACATCAATGACAAAAACCTAAAATAACAATATTTGGGTTTATTTTCACCCTTCCACCTGGATATTAACTAAATTAAACTATAAACCTTAAGGACCTTGTGGTGAAGCCTGACCGGCTTTAAGGCAGATGAGAGAAACCCACCTGATCACATGTGTGTTACTAACTCCTCAATTCCCATGATACCAAACATCAAATTCCGGATTGCGTATGTGACAGTGATATTGCACTTCACGCAAAGGAATATGTGCGCTGAAACATCCTCCCTGCTAAATAAAACCTATGAATAAATGATGCATTCTGTGGCATACCTTGACTCCCCACCGCGTTGCACTTCATCAGTCGTGTTGATGTGAAATGTCCGGAAGCTTTTTAACCTCCAAACATTCCCGCGACATCATCTGTACTTAAATTTAACGATGCTGCATGTGCGCTGTTGCGAGAACGTTATGGCACGTGAGCGATTAAAAAGGTTCTTTACCGCATTAAATGCACGTTCAATTTTGGTTTCAGTCCACAAAATGTGTTGACGCTCATCTTGTGTTGGATCGGCTACCTGAGCAACTAAGCCAAACACACTCTTCCTTTTTTATCACCGCTAATTAGTGTGGTTAATCAGGCTGATAATGAGCCTGGGCACCACGCCATTTCAATCTGACACCAGGCCAGGGTTCAGATCCCCTCAGTGATCGTCCTGAAGATGGCTCTTCCTGGACGTGAGAGGAAAAGGAGGGACCAGGGATGAATGGTTTGCATGATAACTGTAGGGCATAACTCCACAATTTATATGGCTGCAGGGATGATAAAAAACAGACCGAAAAGGTCTCGGAACTGGTTACTCTTATCTGTCTACAGGGTGCTTTAGGAACAGGTCTTTCTTATCTTTGCACAATTTACAAAATGTTATCTCCTCTCAGATGAAAAAGAGGAATCGATGCTTCCTGTCACACATCGCGTTAACCCTTAAGACACACTCAAGTCGTAATCCAACTCGACCCCACGCAACGCACACTTCCACAATATCTCCTGCAGTGGAAAACCATCCAGTAGCCTATCACCTCCCATCTGTCTCTCCCCCCTCCCTCCCTCCCTCCCTCTCCCCATCTCTTGCTCTGCCTCAGTCTCTGCTGCCTCATTTATTCCCCGAGCAGCACACTGAGCTGGATAACGTCTCATTCAACCCGCAGCACTGACTCATTTCTCCACACACCAGCTCTGAGTGGATTCTCAGCAGGGGTGTTTGAGATATTAGGGCGCTGTGGGGTGGTGGGGGGGAGGTTGGGGCGCTCAGGGACTTCTACCATCCACCTACAAAGGTAAGCCTCTGGATCCTTTAGATTGCATTCCTCTTTGCCTCCAAGCAGCAAAGTGCAGGTAGTGGAAGTTAGCCACATGAACCTGCAGCTTTTAGCCGTCACTCGTGTCCCAGGACAGATTCATAAGACTTTTTCTACGGTTTTGTACTGGATAGACTTTTGGTAAATCAATGCTGTGATGATGAAAGCCATGAAGCCGTATGGTCGGTGACATGTGGAATAACAGTGAGCTGGTGGTCTGACCTTATGTTAATCCTTGTTTTGTTTAGAGCAGTAAGTTTAGAGAACAGTACCAGTCACTGTAATCGTAATGTGCTTAAGAGAACTGAAAACACGTAGTACCGATTGGTCTCACTTTCAAAATGTTTATTTTAATTTTGACATAGTGAACCAGGAGCCTTCTTAAAGTACTTCATGCCAATGCTTTGCTTCGTATCATGCCACCAAAAACGAACATATTCAGAAAATTGTTATTTGAGGTCAGTTTTTACACAGAATGCTTCAGCTGAATTAAATCCAAAGTGTCACTAATCGGATCAGTAGCTTCTTGCATTTAGGCTTCGTTCACTGTTGACAGAGAGTCGGATTGTGTTAGAACCGTCTGCATTGATACATTCTCATGATCCTCTGCATACGTTGGTTTTCCAGGTAAAGACAGAGTCCTATTTCTCCTGATGATAAAGTCAATTTGAAACCAAAATTATATATTGAATCAGTGTTGTGCGTGCTAAAAGTTAACATGTACATAATCAGAGTGTAGTTCCCAAAATGATTTTTTTTTTTACATTGCTCTATATATGTATATACACGCATACGCATGCACGCACACTCACATTTATATGTGTATGTTGTGTCTGTTAGTAAGCACATTGCAGCTATAGGTTCCCAGTCAACTTGTATATTTCACACCCATAAACACCCCATTTTAACTGGGATTTTAGTCTTTTGAGTCTTTTTTATCTCCTCTGGAAATGGAAAGAGGCTATGGAGTTTAGATACAAAGGCCTGGAGTTGCTTGTATATATAATTAGAAATGGATGTCTGGAGAAATTAAGGAGAAATGCTGCAGAGTTTAACATCTAGGATACATATTTATTTGTCTTCCTTTTGGACAAATAATTTGGCATTCACACAGTCATTACAGATTCCGTGCAGTCTGAGGCTGAGGACGTCAGTGAAGCTCTCACAAGCCCCTTCCTGCTCTTCATCTCTGTAGTGCCAGACATGTGCCCATGAGTATTCATCAAGAAGGGCTAATGGGGCACAGCAGTGTGAAGCTCTGATTTACAGCCCGGCCCCTGTCAGGCCTTAATGACAGGGCAATGGGGCTGGTTATGGAGGAACAGGTGCAGCGGACTGAATAGATGCAAAGCAATGCCGCTGAAAGCCACGGGTGATTGTCATTTTGTCCCCTGCACAAATGCTCATTTGCAATATTGTGTTCACACACACACATAATTATTGTGCATGGAAATAAGCTCTCTTTAAGTAGGCTCGTGGCTTGAGGCCCTGTGTAGTCAGCGATAGTACGTTTAATGTTTAATGTACTGACTAAATGTCATATCCAATATGCACAACAACTCCTTATTCACATTAACAACAGATGGAGGTCCATGATAGAGTGAGAAGTAATATCCGAAATGAACTCATACCCTTGAGTGACAGATGTAAAAGATATATTGTGAACTTGGAAAACAAAATAAAGACTGCTACCAAAGTACCTTTGGATAATAATAATTTCAATCATGTTGGCCGTACAGGTCTTATTTTTGGGGGGCATTCTTTTGGTCTCAATTGGATAATATAATGGTATATAGAGTAGCATATCAATAGGAGTATATAACAAATATCTGAATGTGTCATTTAAAGGAATTTGAAATGATATGTGGAGTTTTATCATGTCACAACAAATGCAAAATATATATTATATAATATTTATATTTATAATATCTCATGTTGTTTTATTTCTTATTCCTTTTAGTTAGCTTGTAACCCTTCAAAATAACGATCAACCCATAATGTGGGAAGCAATGAGTAAATACGTCCTGATCGTCAAAAGAAAGCTAAGCAAGAGAATGCAACCATTGTCTCATCTTCAACTAGATCAACCAATTCCTCATCCTTTTGAATTCCTATCACATTAAGATGGCATTGACAGAAAGTAAAGAAATTGTGGGGAATGTTTCTCAGTTTTCAATCAAAGCTGTCCTGACTGTTAAATGTAGGAAATGAAATGCCGAAAGGTCCGTTTTGTAGAATGCACAGGCTCAAAAACGAGTGATGAAAAGGCTATTAAAATGAACACGTTACACTGCTTGAGAAAAGATTAACGCGCAGAGTGCCGGACTGATTTTGTGCAAAGAGGCCGGCACAGTTTCACAACTCTTGTCAGTGAAGTTGTTGTAGGTGTTCAGCAGTGGAAGCTCACTCACTGCAGGTCAGCTGGCACATTTTACTGATGGATCGCTGCACAGCCCACACACACACACACACACACACACAAGCACTCTGTGCCTGGACCATCCCACACTCCAATGGTGTTTATCCCGCAGAGCCGGCAGTGAGGAGGAATATGGGCAAATCGGAAAGCCAAATGGATATCATGGAGAAATCAAGTAAATCAGGAAAGCGTCGTTGGACCTTCGCAGAAATCGGTCTGTCTGTTCTGCTGCTGTTGGTCAGCTGTGCCTTGGCCGGACTGATAGTCCTCTACACATCGATTGTGAAAGGTAATGGCTCTGTCAGGCTCACTGTGGAAAGATCCAGAAAGCACAGGCGACAGCAGTAATGGCACAGCGGCGTCTTCTCGCTGTGTTTTTTGTGTGGCTGTAAGCTGACATTGACACAGGATTCTGATCCTGACCCTAGAAATGCTTTCAGACACGACTATGACATTGTGTAATGCAATATACTAATGTGTCATCTGATAAGCCTTTTGGATATTTCTAAAGATTAATGTTGGTAACCGAAATGAGCAAAATAAGCCTCATAGTATATTTACAGTAGTCCAGGCTATTTTTTGATTTTTGACTGAACAGAATAAGGTTTTAATGTTAAACTTCTTATTATAATTTAAAATAAACGTGAGTGTCTGAGTGTCTCTAAACTGTGCTTCTTCCAACCAATTCAGAACAATCTACCAAGAAGAGTGTGTCAAGGAGCTCAACAGGTGAAGGTGAGGCTGGGTCGCTTTAAGCTCGCTAGCTGGACACGGGAAGCGCTGTGTGATGAGTGTGATGGTCACTGTAATACTGTAATTCCCTGCGGCGCCTGATCAGCAGGGCCACACAAAAGTGGGAGAACAGTCACTGCTGACATGGACTTTACCCGTCACACACACACACACACCCACACACACATACACACACAGAATCCTACCCCATTGATTGAGGCCATTTAGAATGACCTTTTTTTTTTTTTACTTGTCTCATTTGGTGTGTCGTTTTTTTTCTCCAAAAAACCTCTGCATCCTTTCTCGTGAATGTTGACCCTTGATTTTTCCAGGCCAGCTGTTTCGCTCCGGCCACAACAGTGTGTGCACAACCGCGGACTGTGTTACTGCAGGTGAGGGGGGACTGTTTATTTCTTCGGGCCCTTCCTGCTGTGTTATTTTGCAAACACTTACAACCCCCCAACCATTGAAGCAGAAAAGCTGACCAAATGGGGATCATCCTAATCTTGTCTCTTTCTCTTTGCAAACCCTCCCCGCCCCCCCCCCCCCCTTCTCTTGTCTCCGTGACACCTATAAGCTGCTCGGCTCTTGCAGAACATGGATGATTCTGTAAAGCCCTGTGATAATTTCTACCAGTATGCTTGCGGGGGTTGGCTGGAGAGACACGTTATCCCGGAGACGAGCTCCCGCCACAGCGTCTTTGACATTTTGAGGGACAAGCTGGAGATTGTCCTCAAAGGTCAGCAGGGTTCGGTCTATGGAGCATTCAGAGCCATGCGTGGGCTTCGTTCAGAGACGACATGTCCGCTTTTGTTGTTGCAGGCGTTCTTGAGACTGAGAATGGACAGGACAGAAACGCCATCAAGAAGGCCAAAGTCCTTTACAACTCCTGCATGAACGAGAGTAAGACTCCCTTTTTTAAAAGGAAGCGAGAAAACATAAACAGTTTGTGTTTGTTATTTTTTCCTCAGCCAGAATTTTTGCACGGTTCACCAAATTAAATCTAAGACTTTTAAAGTGATTATTCATTCTCTGTAGAATGCAATTTAGTATTATATCATGGCCTTGTCAGTACTCGCCAATATAGGAGTATATGAGATTTATTACTTATTATATAATGTATTCAATTGATGCAGCCTGCCCACGGCTGAAGTGTATTGAAATGGATTAATTCAAAACGATTAATCCACTTGAGTTAAGGTTTTGCTATAATGCCAATAGCACACTGAGCTTCCTAGCCTCCGAGGCTCGCAGCTCTGACAGTATTAAAACAAAACAGTCCTCCTTGAAGCGTCTCAATAACAATACAAGAACCAACATTACTGCCTAGAGAAAATGTTGAAATTTATTCAACTTTAATTTCTGAAGGCGCATTACAACATAACACACATTATCTTACCGTACGAGTCGTAGAAAGGCGACAGTGTTTATTACGTCCCACAAGTTGTGTTGTTGTTTTTTAACCTGCAGCCGTCATAGAGCAGCGTGACTCGCAGCCCCTCCTGAAGCTCATTGAGAGTATCGGAGACTGGCCCGTGGCGTCAGATGCCTGGAACACCACTACAGGTAGAACCGCAGCCCGATCCACGTCTGCAGCGCCTTCTGTCACCACGTGCACGTGCAACACGTCCACACAAACGAGCACTCTCACTCGAGTGTGAGCTTTGTTGGCGGGATCAAGGGGCCGGTCGTGATGAGTGGGTTAGAGGAGCAGGTCCTCACTCAGGACTGGGACGGTTGTTTTAAATGGTTCACCAAGCTGTTTCCCCCGAGCAGCTCCTGGCTCGGGCCACTTTAATTAAATGCAATCACGGACTTTGGCTCAAACAGAATTAAGCACACAATGCCGCATCTGCACACGCAGATTTACACAGAGAGCCCAGTTAAATGGGCAGCAGGGAGGGAGCCGCAGTTTTTTGCGTACTGACGAATTTAATAATTCTTTACAGCAAGATAACTGTTTGAATTAAGAGTTATTATCTTGTGCTGCTGCAGAGGAAGCGTGGAGCCTTGAGGACACACTGGCAAAGCTTACCGCTCGTTTCCACAAGAAGGCTCTGCTGGACATGTACGTGTGGACGGACGACCGAGATTCTCGGCGCCACATCATTTATGTAAGAGAACAAAGGACACAGTCACAATGTCACGATGGAGCCCATAAGTATTCCCTGTTGTCCCTGTCTGTGGCACTCGGCTCACACCCATTGATCATACTGAAGATGTAAATCTTTAAAAGGGGTCACAATTACAAAAAGTAAAATAACTTAACTCTTCCTTACATACATTTGTGGTTTTTGACTAATCATATCCTCTTAACTAAACTATTTGAAACAAACCAAAATGCTTAATTGTTATTCTGGGTTTCTGTCATTAGATTGACCAACCAGGACTCGGCATGCCGTCAAGAGACTATTATTTCAATGATGGAAACTACAAAAAGGTGAGGCCAATGAATTAAGTGATTTTGGTCATGGGGGGAACTGCATTAAATAACCATGAAAAACTACAACAGCGAGTCCTCTTAACAAAAACGCAATATTCAAACACGGCCTTCTTTATTTTAAAAAACATATTTTATTAGCTTGTGATTGTCCCATAGGTTCGAGAGGCCTACCTGCATTTCATGGTTTCTATTGCGAAGATAACCCGTGAGGACAGGAACTTGACTCAGGATGAGGACCGCGTGTGGGAGGAAATGATGCAAGTGCTGGAGCTGGAGACGGACATCGCCAATGTGAGCGTCAACCACAACCAGGAAAAAGGATTTTTGGACAAATGAAAAATGAGTCCCTCCTCTCCGCTCCCAGTGAATGAACACGCTGCTCTACATTTAGTGGGGGAGACAGCAGATGGGCCAAGCTCATAACCATTGTTTTAGCTTATTATTGCATCTGTCTGGCGAGAGGAGATTGGGGAATGGGACGTAGCGGATAAAAGGAGCTAAATGTGAATACATTGAACGCAGCGTGAGTTGATAGAAGGCGTCTTCCTTTGTGTTGTTGTACAGGCCACATCGCCAGCAGAGGAGCGCCAAGATGTGACTGTTCTCTACTACAAGACGACACTGGGAGAGCTGCAGAGCACATTCAGCTTTAATGTTTGTGTGATTTCACATTTCAAGTGCAATCAGGGGACTGTTAATTGTTTGCTTCTCCCAGATTCAAGGTGCCACTTGAAGGCTCGCCATGAAAGTGTCTTTACTCAAACACGCGTACAATTTGGATAATATTGTAATACATTTATGATGATGCAACATGGCAGAATCTATTGTTTGGGGTTTATCAGCCTTTATTAAGAGAGAACAGTTGTTTTTATTCTGGCACGAACAAACAAACATTGGAAAAAAAGAGATAATAAAATGTAGATATTAGAGAGAAATGTAGAAAAAACTTTAAGATCATATAAAGTACAATAAACAGCGTTAATTCATAAATCAATAAATATAAAGTAAAAAATAAAAGTCACTGATTAGCTTTGCCTTTGACTTGGTTTTGTTGAAAAGACGCAGCTGATTATATTCAATGGCGCAAAATACTGCAACCAAAATTTGAATGAAGGAATTAAGCTGTTTTGTCGTTGCTATGAACTCTGTGAACTAGTTACAAAAGTAGCTCAAGCATATTTAACCATATGGCATTTGAAAGATATTTGACGTGCAAAATGTCTCCAACTTCTGTTTTCCAGGGTTTTAACTGGACACAATTTATTCAAGGCGTTCTGTCCAGTGCGTCTGTTGAGCTGAAGCTAGAGGAGGAGGTGGTGGTTTACAGCTCCCCGTACCTTGAGAAGATGAACAATGTTCTTCCCAGACACAGTGTCCGGTGAGTCCAAGAGACTTCCGCCAACAGGAGATCATGAACATTAAATCATCTAATAATACTACACCTCTGTGTAACGCGTAAGCACTTTATGTCGGCAGAACTATGCAGAATTACCTCGCCTGGCAACTCATCATCGACAGAGTTAACAGCTTAAGTCGCCGCTTCAAAGACGCCAGAGCCCGTTACAGAAAGGTGAGGACACCACAGAGCCTGGCACATTAAAATGAGCTCATTCAAAAGATGTCATTCTGAGGTGCTGATTGTCTCTGTGCGTGTCTGCACGGTCAGACTCTCTATGGGACCACTGTGGAGGACGCTTGGTGGCGAGAATGTGTTCGTTATGTCCAGAGCAGCATGGAGAACGCAGTCGGAGCTCTGTACGTGCGGGAAACCTTTGCTGGTGAAAGTAAACAAATGGTGAGTCCTTCTCGTTCTGTAAAGTTTTGTCGGTTAACAGCAAGCTGTTATTGAAATCCATGGAATAATGTGCGTTATGTGCCACTAAATCAAGAAAATGGATTCAGAACAATTTCTCTGTCAATTTTGTGCTCTTTGGCGTTAAGTGCACTTTTGTTACATCGAAATGCATTTTTGCATTTTCCCCACCAAACTGGTACATTTGATGATGGAGATGACATCGCAATTATTTAAAATGCATTGTCTTCACCGTGGAATCTTTTGCAAATGCATTATTAACTATGTGTGGTGGGAGGAGGGACAAAATCACTTTGTTCACAAAACGCATTATGTTATCCGGGCCCTCATGACCGGGACATTTTGTGTGAGTGAATGGGAGTGTCAATGCATTGTTCTCAGGTCAGTGACCTTATCGGTAAGATCCAGAAAGCCTACGTGGAAACACTGGAGGAGTTGAGCTGGATGGATTCTCCCTCAAAGGAGAAGGCAAGAGAGAAGGTAAAGCACACACAGCCAAGCGGAGCAGATACGGGTGCATCTCTAGACGTACCACATCATCATAATTATTGTTCTGCACGTCGTGTAGGCCATGGCGATCAAGGAGCACATTGGCTATCCAGACCATATTCTGCAGGAGACCAACCTGAAGCTCGACCAGGAGTACGCTCATGTAAGTAAGAGCTGAGTCTGGGTACATTTTCACGCCGGGAGAAAACCGGAATATGTCACTGATCCAAGATGTGTTCTCTTTCCAGCTGAATTTTAGTGAAGAATACTACTTTGAGAACATCCTGGAGAACCTGAAGTCTGATGCACATAAGAGTCTAAAGAAGCTCCGAGAACCAGTTGACCCTGACTTGTAAGCTGCCGATGCATCAGACAGTCCGATCCGACCTCACCGGTGAAGCTTTGGGTGGTGGTCACCATGAAAGCTCATTGAGCTCAGTGAAATCTCTCGGCTCAACACTTTGTTTAGGGTGACAACCCAAAGCCCCTTGAATGAGCTTGATATGACACACATTTGTGCGCCATCTCTCTGTTTCCAAGATAGAACATTAAAAATATATATTTTCAAAAATGTTGCGTAAAGCCTTACAGTAAGGCTTTCTGTGTCAAATAAACCCCAAAGAATATTGAAAAATTAAGGTCAATATTTTTCATGCAGAGAATCTGCTCTGTTTTTAAATGAAAATGCAGTTTAATGTTGTTGTTTTTAAATCAATAATGGACCACTCACCCCTCAGGTGGATCATTGGTGCTGCCGTGGTGAATGCATTCTACTCACCCAACAGAAACCAGATTGGTAAGAGATTTGCCTCTGTGGAAAAATTAGACGTGTTTTTTTTTTTACTGTAACAGAGTTGCACCTCAGTAAAATCCTGTCTACTGCTGCCAGTGCTTATTATGTTTTCATTGCTGCTTGTTTTTGTGTGTTTGTTTTCTCCCAGTGTTCCCGGCAGGAATCCTGCAGCCGCCCTTCTTCAGCAAACAGCAGCACCAGGCCCTTAACTTTGGTGGAATAGGAATGGTCATCGGACATGAGATCACACATGGATTTGATGACAACGGTGAGGCCTCAATGATTCATCGTGGTTTATTTTCAGCAGTTTATTGTTCTCTGTCATGTCACCGGTTTAACTCAACAGTTTTCTGGTCACACGAGTTACTGCTCTTCAGATGATTCATGTTTGACAAACAGTCCTTTACCCAAAGCGTTATGTTTCCTCAAAGGGCGTAATTTTGACAGGGACGGAAACATGCTAAACTGGTGGAGTAATTACTCTGCTGAGCATTTTAAAGAGCAGTCCAAGTGCATGGTGCAACAATACGGCAACTTTAACTGGAAGCTGGCGGGTGGACAAAACGTAAGTGCCCAGAGACAAGTAATCCCAAACCGTGTGAGCCGTTTATTAAGTGGCCGCGAATGAGTGTTTTCATGTCTGCGTGTGTGTGTGTGTGTGTGTTTTCATCTGTGCGGTTGCAGGTCAGTGGAATCAGCACTTTGGGGGAGAATATTGCAGACAACGGAGGCGTTCGTCAAGCATTTAAGGTTTGATGTTGCACAAAACCACATGTTACTCTTCCAGCAACAATGACAGAGTACCGAAATGTTTCGCTGGCGTGTGTTTACAGGCTTATCTGAAGTTGGTGGAGACGGAGGGCGAGGAGCCTCGTCTACCTGGTCTAGACATGGATCACAAGCAGCTTTTCTTTCTTAACTTTGCCCAAGTAAGTAACAGCAGTGAGGGGATGTGCAATTATCTCATGTAAAGCAAGAGCAGAAAACTGTTGCTCACAATTAGAGCGTCTTTTTTTTTTAAATGATGGCTTTTGAAAGTAGATTTCTCTGCGCTCATATAATCCCTTTGATTTTCTAGGTGTGGTGTGGGGCTTATCGGCCTGAATATGCCAGCCAGTCCATCAAGACCGACTCGCACAGTCCATGGGAGTACAGGTACACCGTTGGCATGTTGGGATACACCGACATTGGGCACAATAAGAGTATTTTGGGTAGTTCGATTGATTTAATGTAACTAGCTTGAAAGTAGATAGTGATCTGGAATCTTTTCTCAAATATGCAGTGCAAATCACCAAAATTCTATTAAATATTTTTTCACAGTTATTCCTGGGAAATAGGCACAAGTCATATGATCACAGCTTCCAGCTAAACTGACTCTCTCTGATTTAGAGCTGGGAATCTGTGCTTAGCTTTCATCAGTTTTAACAAGAGATCAAAGTTGATAGTTTTTTGTTATCATTTGAGTTCCAAACTAATTTTAGAAAGCGTGGATGGATAGAAAATACAGTATGTTTTGTTTAGTTAAATCCAGCTATCCCCAAGTTGATATTAAAGAATCTTCTTGGTTAAAAAAGTCGCTGTTGAGGATGAATGAACAGATAATTATTATTCAGCAGATCCTCTTGTTTGAGTGAAGCAGAAGGCATGAATGGATTATTGCATCGTATCAAAATCCAAAACATTTATTGTAGGTTTAGAGTCTGTGTAAATTTAAATCCAAGATTTGTTCCTCAACGCAATGTACAAGTTAGACAGTAATTCTGTGGGTCTCCTTACCAGCCCCCTACCTGTGCCTGTCATTCACTGTATAAAAACATAACTCATTAAGTATTATTATCAGCGGGTTCATTTGCCGATCCATGACAACGGGTCTTGGCATTCATAACACATTGAACGTTTTGTCATTACTTTTGTTTTTTCTTTTATCTTTAGGGTGCTTGGATCCCTCCAGAATTTTGAAGCCTTCTCAGAAGCTTTTCAGTGCCAAAAGGGCAGTAAAATGAACCCCAAGCAGAAGTGTCGCGTCTGGTAGAAGGTTTTTCAAATCAAAATAACTGGTCGTGCTCCTCAAATCCAACGAGGAACGCTGCTTATTTCCAATTTATTTGGGGTCGTGCTGACATGGAATTTTGCATTTACTGCAGATGTAATTAGAATGGATGCAATCAGGAGCCGCATCCTAGATTGAACTACAGAAGCTAAAGTTATAGCACATTAACGTATAGAATATACTTTTAAAAAGAAACTTGCTTAAGTATATGCCCAGGTTTGAAGTCTCTCGATGAGTCGGCTCTTATTCTTTATTTTTGTTGTGTCCCACTGCAAATGACGAGTGGGTTCATAGAAAAAAACGCCCCATAGAAAAAAAAAGACCCTGTGAAGCTTATCCGGCTTGCTTTAAATGCTTGGCCTGCGTTTTTGAATTAATCCCTAAAAAAAATCTCCTGTGCAGATCTTTGTGATTTATCTATTATCATTTGGCACAGAGCTGACTTGCATTTCTTCTGATGTGTTTTTAAGTCAGTGAGCCACTTCAAATGAAACAATAGAGAACCAATCGAACTCTGACTGAAGATTATGAAATAAATGGAAGCTCCGGGCTTTGCCTGGAGTAGAGCTACAATAGAATTAGTCACACTCTGAGAGTTTGTTCATTTACTGTTACATGAAACAAATTACCTAAAGACTTTAAGACTGTTAAATCTTTGCAGCTTTAACCTTAAATTAACATTCTAAGAGAGCTGCGGCTTTCAGCATTTTTACACTCACTTGGATTGGATGAATATAAAAGAAATGTACAAAGCTATTAAGTACTTTTTGGAGGGGTCACTGTTATTCTAAGTTTCTTCAACGTGTCCTGCGAGTGATTTTTGCTCAGTACTCACTGCAGAAATGTGAGCGTACGCCATGGAAGTTTTCCTTGATGAAACCGTATTCCAGAGGTTTGAAAAATACTGGTGGCCTGCAATGTTTTTAGGTAGTGAGAAAAAGCATGTGTTGAAGACGGAGTGATGTGATAATGATTTTTAAAAAAGTATATCACTTAGTTGCATTAATAGTTAGTGCCAAGTATAGATACAGGTTTGGGTTAAGTGTTGTGTCTCTTTTTTCTGCTTCTGCACATTCAACCTTTCACCAGATTTTGATTTTGAGAGGTCACGTAAAAGGGTCATTGAATATTATGATGTCGGCTTCAATTATATCTGAGTTTACAACTAAGTCAACATGGTGATTGATACGTAGACGAACATATTCCAAAAATATTTTATTTCCTTCACAACACAATCTTCTGAGAAGAGGCACAAACACACAGTTATAACAAGACTTTCAGCGTCTGGTAAAGCCAATTACATGCTAAGGGAGAAGAAGAGCCCTCACACACACACACACACACAAACACACACTCTCGCACTCACACGTGGCAGCCGATGAAGTGGTTTGTCCTCTGATCTCGCATTGATCAGTGCTGTCTAAGATTAAAGGATGAAGAGCGGTGTGCTGAAGTGTGGTTAATGCTGCAGCCTTGCCACGTGCACACACACACACACACACACACACACTGACGTATGGGGCTTGTCATTAAAGAGATGGCCGGGGCCACGACTGTTATTTTCTACCTTTTATTAACAAGTAATGACAGGAGAATCAAAGCAGAGCAGAACTCATGGGAAACGAGAGCCTTTTAAAGAAAAGGCACAGCTCTGAATATTTGCTTGGTTTTAGAAGTTTTAAGTCTCGTCTCCTTGTCTTTGCATGTCGGCGAAAGCTGCAGTGTGTAGTTAAAGGACACATAGTTAAAGGATACATGATGAAAAAAAGAGTTTTCACTCAGAATGTAATTGGTGATAGTGTGATGCCATCTTGAGAGTTAAAACAAATGGATGAAAACCAGTGGAGTGAATCAGGATAGCCGTTTCCCCGTTTCCAGTATTAATGCTAAGCTAAGCTAACCAGCTGCTGGCTGTGGCCTGACTTTTTAATGTCAACGTATCAACATCAATATATGGGTCGTCACAATTCACTCTCCTCCAGAAAGCGACGAGGCGTCTCGCCCCGAGTGTGGAAGCTTCCCGTCGGTAGATCCTCGGTCCTGAGCTGCTGTTTGACGGACAGCAGCTCAGACTCCTAGTCGTGTCTGGTTATCCTCAAAAGAACATTGTAGGGTATATCAAATACAATGTGCTATTGCGTATTCTCTATACCCCAGTATTTACATATAACATATTCAAATCAGGTAAGAAAGAAAGCTTTCATTTCTTACCATAGTTCTAGCTTCACATTTACGTACATGGTGAAATTGTGTCGTTTTGAAATTACCAACCAAGTACGAATACATTATTGAATGTGAACATGTTTTATCTTGACCCCTCAGAAGAGTTTATTTATCTACATAAATATTTATGGAATACGCTTTTGACCTTGCTTTGAAAGAATTTAGACGTTAAAGATGTTTTATGAATGTTCCTGCTGCTAAGTAATTATCTAGATTGCCATTAAAGTGACTGTCTCCACTACCAGGAAGTCGTGTCTCTGCTTTGTCATTGCGACGTAAAATGAAACAAAATTGTCATCTGTGAAGGCGTTTTAATGCCTGTTCACATTTTAGTTCAGTTTACATTCTATTTATAGAATTATGATAGTGTTGACCATATAACACCATAATATTAAGTTCACTCATAGCAAAATGCCACATGCGCAATACATTTCTAGTTATGATGGCATGCAAGGATCACCTTCATATACTCACCTTTTAATAAAACCACATGAAGCTTTTAATCAACAGGCAATATTTTTAAATGTTTATTATAATTTATACATACAAATTCTTAATCTATAAACTGATAAATGTAGATTCATAAAAAGCCATTAGTTCAAGTTCAAAAGTTCACATACAATTAAACGCAACTATTGCTTTCATTGTAGATTATTATAATGTATTATAATTACATATGTGATTGTTACAAAGACATTTGGGCAATTAAGAATAGTGACAGTAGTTTTATGTTGACATTAGCTTCCTGCTGACATTCCAGATGTGTAGATATGTTTGCAGTACGATGTGCAGCTGTCCTCATCGTGTACAAACGCTATCATTGCACTGCAAGAGAAAGTACAGGAGAAGTCAAGTCAGCTTTATTTATACTACATATCAAAAATTGAAAATGTGCCTCATGGGGCCAAACATACAAACAACATACATAGTGAAAAGGGATCCAGGAGGATGTAAAGCAAGCTATGACTGCTTCACTACATAAAGAGAGAATACGAATAGCCGTGTGATCACGCAGATAATTTAATGTATGAATTGACGGCTTCACTGAATCAAAGCAGTTCTTCTTTGAATCACAAGTCTCTGAGATGAACAGAAAGAAATTGTTTCTTGGAGTGAAAATCTTATCTTATGCTAATCAAAAGGCAATTTTTCCTTGACCCAATAAAAAGGTAGCCAGGATTCATGGTAAGAAAGAGGGTCATACTGAGGGATTGGATGAGTATTTGGGTTGACTACAGGACAGAGGCCCACGTCAGACAAAGCGTTGACCACGTCGCGTTTATGGAGCCCTCAGGATCACCGTACTGAAGTTAATCTAGAAATCCACTGCGAGATTTTCGAGATCCAGATAAGAGAAGCAAAAACAAGTTCTATCAGCTGTTTTGAACAAGAAGACATTTGTTTGTTTCATCTCTACCAGCCGATGACTTCTCTGCGGTGACGAGGCTCAACCCTTTTCCGAGCTTCTTCCAGCTTGTGATTTTCTTACACCCTTTGACTCCTCAGAAATAAACAAGGTCTATACTGTCATCGGGCTGTGGCAATGACCTCTGTTGGTTTCTCTCTTAATTCGCTTTCACGGCGTAGAACAGGGGACTGCATTTTAAAAGTTAGCTTCTATTTTCTGGTCTATTATAAAGTCGCACCAGCAGACCTGAATGAGCCACGAGGCCCCGCCGCTCTACGTAAAATATGGAAGATAACGTCATATTTTGAGGTTGGAGTAGAGTCAACACTTGCATGACAATTCTGACCCTGCCTTCTTTTAAAATCCTACTAAAATCCCATCAACACTCAAGCTGATGACACAGACTTGCTAGTAAACCTGCTAGAAAAGACTGATAGAAGGACATCGGCCCGGTGTGGTTTGGTTCAATAAGCGGGTGGAAGACCAATCAAAAAAGGTGAAGAAGGGTAGTGAAGAAAGTAGAGGAAGGGACATAATAGACTCTTGTAATACTGGGCTTCTTCTCTCGTTCATGGGATGCCTTACCACTGGCATTTGTCCTGCTTTCGCTTTGGATGAGATATCCAAAACCTTGGCAATATCCTCCAGAGGTACGTGGTCACCTGGGGAGTCCTGGATAAAATGCAGTAGGACCTTTTCTCCACCTTTGCAGAGCAAAATATATTTTGGAGAAATCAGCCATGGAAACCACATTCATTGCACTCACAGATCATTATGAATTTGCTCTGGTGAACTCGTGACAAATAAAGACAATAAAACACAGCATAGACTTCAAATCAATCAACACAAATTACTGTGATAAAAACCTAAAAAGGGAAAAAGATTTAGCCTTTGACTTTACTGCATCCGACACACAATTGCAAATTTGCAAAGTTGGATGAATTGAATAGTTTAACCTTCATTACTTATGTGTATTTGAAGTGGGGAAAGTCGTAAACCCGTAGAGCACTGCTGTCTCAATTCCAGGGGCTGCATCCTTTAGGACACATTCATCGACCGGCGACTCGTCTTCGATTTGATTCTATTACTTACATTTAAAAGTGAACTCTTCCCCGGCTGACCAGGATTTTATTTATTCAGGACGGAAGCAGGTCAGCCGACAGCGAGGGAAGAGTTCAGTTTTAAATGGAAGTAATAGAATTCACTTGAATATCTACCGCTAGAATTGTTAAATAATAATATATAACATCACATCTTAGTTTATAAAAATTGCTTAAGTTACGTAACGCCGGTAACGGGAACAGCGGCGATAACGCTGATGACGCAAGCAGGAAGTTCCCTTGTAGGCCGGACCGTCCCGGTTTAGAGGCCGCTCGCTATTGCCTATGCGGTCGTTGGAGGACTGAGCACTGTGGAGGCTGCAGCCCACTGAATAGAGACACGGCTTGTTAGAGAGGGAGTGAAGAACTATCTTGTGTTGCTGCATTGCCCTCTAGAGGACAGGCTGCATAGATGCATTGCTGTGACCATCTCTGTACCTTCACATACACGTCAGGCCAAACTCCACCCGCATCAAGATTATTTTTTTATGTTTTATACACCTTCACTAGTCAGACCCTTAGTAATACCCCCCTGTGGTCTATTCGACTGTACCTTTGGACACAACGAGCATGCCTCCGCTCTGCAGCAGATCTCCAGAGAAGTTTCCCTTGATGCCTTCAGCATTGGCCTGAAAACAATGCAGAAGACAGGGAGTCAAAGGTCTAAGTGTCCTTCTGGGTGTCGGGAACTCTACCCCATTCTTCTATGACCATGAATATGAGGCGTGAAGCAATTGTACAAACATGCAGGTACATACCTTCGAAGCTGCATCTCTTACTTTCTTCCCCAAAGCAGCAGGTACCACACTCAAGGCCGTGTATCTGAGGGTGAAGACACGCAGCTTCTCGATTAGAGATCATTACAAATCTTTTATAAAAGAGAGAAGATTTGCATGAGCAGCAAAAGCTTATGACCTTACATTTCCCCAAAGCACGTAAATGAGGATAAAATCATCTTTGACAATAGACAGGAGGGGGAAATCAAACATAAAACAGCTTCTGTATTACACAAAGTGAATGTGGATTTACTTTACTCACCTTTTGAAGCCCAAATCCTTGTAGCTTTTCTTTTGTTCATCAACATAAATGGCTATAAGAAGAAGACAATGGATGGTCCTTTACAATCCGGGTACAGAACTGAAGCTGTTGGGCTAATGCATGTATATATATATATTCATATTTTACAAAGATCAATGATCCCAGTCTTGTTTACACAGTGAAACATACAGGCCAATCATTAAACATGTTCATTGGATCTGTACTTGAATTTGTCCTATACCCAAGACATAGGTATTGTTAGTCAAACCATTTCAGCCCTGCACGTGACACACCCAGTTTTACTGCTGTCGGATGTGCTTGTGCAAGAATGACAATGCAGATATTTATTATTTAAGTTACAATGAAGTGTCTTGCAGCAAAGGTTGTTTTTTTAATACCAGACCAGAATGAAATTCATAGGGGCTCGGTATTTAAATATCAAAACAGACCAACAACTACTTACATCCTTTCAAAAACCCTCCTTCCACGAACTCCTTCAGCCCAAACTCCTCTGGTCCGACCCCCACCAGCGCAACGCCGCTGGCCCTCAGGTCCGGCTCTAGCTTGCTGATCTCTGAGGCCATCCAGCGACACACCTGACAGCCAAACCTGCGCAGGAAGAACAAGACCACCGGCTGGTCCCGCCACAAGGCCTGCAGCTCCACACTCTGAAAACACACACAGGGGGGATCTCAAGAGTGGGGCCATACAAACAAGCAAATCACAGGTGGCAAATACAAGGAAGGAAGAGCCTGGATAGATTGTGCTCGTCTGTGAAAACACACATCAGAGAGAGACATTTCATCAGTTGAATTCACGTGCTTTTCATAAGATCGTCGTTATGTCACCCTCGAGGGCCCCATTTGACACCAATTATGTTAAGGCTGGGAGTTAATGAGGTTTAACGCAGCAGGGATTCTCTCAGGGGGGACCAGTTAATCAAACAGCATGGCTTTAGATTACAAGGGAGCACCTTTAAATCCAAACCAATCTCGTGTGCAATGTGAGGGCAGCTCAGAGGAGTACAATTAACGTTAGCTTTCAAGCTCACCTCGCCAGTTTCACCGCTCTTTAGTACGTTCTTTCCGAGTTGAACAAGGTCGACGTTTGCCATTTTTTAAGATTATGCTACGCTGTAATGTGAGGAGAAATGTTTTCCCTCGGAGTTGAATCATGTAACGTACAGTAGTGGAAATACTGAAGTACCGCCCGCACAACAGTTGCGAAACACCTGCATCCTGATACGCCCACTGGGCACTGACGCCCAATCAGATTCTTTTGCTTGCATGAATGGTGAGCCAATCACAGCACGCGGTGTGTGCACTCGTGACGGAGGCGGGGCTGCGCGAAGGAAGACTCTAAAAATTCAACCAATAGTTAATTCGTCATAAGAACCAGCATCGTTTTTTTCTTCTTCTTTCTACATTTACTGCTTTCTCACAACCAGCACAATATGCAACACTGTTGAACATGAATGCATGTTTATAAGGTGTGCACTATACGATACGTGAGCTCAAAGGTAACACGATTTATTGCACGACCTTTGTTTGCTTTTTATAGCGGTTAGATTGCTGATCTCTTTGTTTCCCATCAACCTCTGAGCCAACAGCTTCTGCTGTTTAAACCTGTTTCATACATCTGGGGAAAAATGTACTAGACCGCTGTACTTTACTTTAACTTGATGTCAGAAATAGATATTATTTTACAGTACTGCATTCAAACACCAATTTTTAGTTCTTTGAAGATCAAGTATACTTTAAAGATAAATCTCTCTGTAAATAATCTTACAAGATTTCGTCACAAAAGTATCAGATCTTTAAGTGACAATCCATTTTTAAAGGATTAAAGTCCCCTATTAAGTATTTATTATTGGTACATTCATCCGTCTATCTAAAAAATTTGACACCTCTGTCAAGACACAAAAGTCACCTTCTTCGCCTCGCTTAACTGGAACCGACCGTCTACTTGGGTTTCCACATGGTGAGCAAAACCACGTTGAACCATTCAACAAATAACTTAAGATTCCTTTATCATGGTCGAGAATCACACATTGTTCACGGTCACAGCGCACACTCAATAGGCTTGTCATAGCAGCACAGGCACACGGGTATAATTGATGACTTTGAAAAGGACTGCACTCGGGCTAGTTCAGGATAATGGTGCTATCAAGGCTTACTGGGACGAGCAATGGAACTGACACTTTGTTAATGAAATTGGTGTCACCTGTGTGCTTTCCTAGACAAGTCCTCCTCCCTTCTGCACAACGGCGCTCTCTGTCACCATCATGGACCTCATCCAGGTCCAATGAGACTGGGCCTACTGAAAGTATTTATTTGTCCATATAGTTGGATTTTGTTGTTAAAATAAAGTCTCCTCGTTTTATTTGACAATTAAGACATGTATTTCATTGGTCTTGCACGTTCTGCAAGATTTGTGAGTTACACTTATTTGAGTGAACATATTATTCAAAATTTCTTATTTGTTTTAATTTTTCAATTTTTTAACAATGTATTCATCTTTCAAGTTTGGTCTTGAAGAAGCTGTATGGATGTAAAAGCATTTTATATTCCGTATACATGCAGCTTGTTTGTTTCTCCTTTCGCGCCCCACGATGTTCAGACATTCAAACTAACCATTTTAATGAATATCCCAGATTGCTTTGTCCCTCACATAATTATACTGTGAAATATTTGGGATATTTTAAACCATAAGGATTGACTATAATTTAAAATAAACGTTCGTACAATGTTTAGACAAACAACATCAAATTGGAACAATTGACTCACGTTTGAGGGGGAAAACAGATGAAAACCCGCTAATATCACGTATCATCTCCTTATTGTTCTGGAGACATTCCCCTCAATAAGTGAAGCACTGTGTTTTAGGTTTATAAGTTAAATATATATGCATGTATGTATCTGCATACATGTTTTTTTATCTGTGCTCCTTGAAACACAATCAATATTGAGCCAATAGACATAATTCACTATCATTATTATAATGCCACTTGGAGGACCAAATGTTCAAGTATGAATCGATGGACAGACGGTTGTTTTTTTCCTCGCTGACTCCGCGGTGCTGAGATTGCAGGGAGGGACGTGACGTCACGGCAGGGACCGGGATGAAGAGGCGAAGGAGGAGATGAGAAGTGGGGGAAGGAGAAGGGACGGAGGAGAGAGCAAGGGGGATGACTGCGTGAAAAGGAAAAAAAAAAAACAGCAAAAAACCAAAACAACAATCATGACTCACGTGAATAATCCTTCGTTCTTTTATAAATCATAATGGTCTGTTCACCTTGTATGCCGCAATAAATGACGAGCCTCCCCGGTAAGGTAATTATTATCTTTCACCTTTCGATTTGCACGCCTCCGTCACCTTCCAACACAGTTGTGTCTATTGTGTGGACTTCGCAACAAGGACTCAATGTCAACAAGAACAAGGATAATAACGAGTATCATTTTATTAAAAAAGCTATCGATTGGCTACCGTTGCTACATTGTGGGTTGTACGTTCCTCAGCTGTTTAGTTTAACGATGAATGCATTGAAAGCCATCACCAGCGTCTTTCATTGTGCTCGATTTGAGCTTTCTTCATGAAATATTAAAATGGAAACAGCTTCACGCGAGCGGTGCCGCATACTGCCATGCTGGAGTCAGCCACGCCGAGCACATGGTATCTTTTGCGCACAACACTCACATGCGCATTGGTTGCGGTGCGTCGTACCCGTCGCCGCTGTGCCGTCGCGGCTGCCTCTGCAGTGTTCTCCCCGGTAGCCTTACACAATCACCAGCGGCACTGGTGAGCAAGTTTACTCACACGGCCATCATGCTACATTATGACGATCTTGGATGACCTCTAATTAATCAAATCAACCCCCACGCAGGTCTGGTCTTGACAACGTGTGTCCCCCCCTTGTATGTGCTGCAGTGTAAACTGGCTTGAGAGAGATGTCATCTCCGGGCATGGGCACCCCCAGTGACCCCCTTTTGGCCAGTCCAGGAGGGAGGTTATCCACAGCTCAGGAAGGTCTCTGGAGGACCTCACTCTCCAAAACCTCCAGCTTCCCAACGTCCACCACCCGGCACCTCAGTCACCGAGCCAACAACTTCCAAAGACAGCCAAAGCGCAGGAAGCTGATAGGACCGTCCCCACCTCCCCCGCCCAACACGCCCTGTCCCCTGGACCAGCTGGACCTCAGTGAGCTTCCCCCAAGGCGTACCTTCCAAGAGTTGCTCTTCAACGGCTGCGTCCTGTTTGGTATTGAATTCAGCTATGCCATGGAAACGGCTTATGTGACTCCCGTTCTCCTGCAGATGGGATTGCCGGATCAATTCTACAGCTTGGTTTGGTTTATTAGCCCCATTCTGGGTAAGTGAAGAGTGAAATAATATATGGGGGGATATGCGATACGTTATCTTGTGATTTTGAGTGGCAATGGCTTTGTGCAGTACTTCTGACCCTGTCTTTGGTTTGAAGGATTCCTCGTTCAGCCTCTCCTCGGAGCGTGGAGTGATCGTTGTACATCCAGGTTTGGGCGAAGGAGACCTTTCATTTTTGCCTTGGCTATAGGTAAGAAAAGTTATGTGCCCCTTTAATTACAATACCAAATGTCAATATGTATGTAGGTATACGTTTGGACAGTTAGGAGACTAAGAGAGACTGGTCCATTCTCATAAATTGTACTACACATGTTAAGACAGCCTGCCTTTTAGTCTAAATATAGTAACATAAAAACACAGGATTATCTGCTTATATTGTAACACGGCTTTTGTTTGATATTTCTCCCTTTTTTCCATACTTGGTAAATTGACCGTAAACTCTGAGGAGGGTAGGTTAACTTAGCAGGATCTCAGTGGAACTTTACTTTCCTCCCTCACAAGGGGCTCTCTTCGGTCTGACCCTGGTGCTGAACGGGCGGGACATTGGAGGTGCGCTGGCTGACACCGCGTCCAATCACAAGTGGGGAATTATCCTGACGGTGTGTGGCGTGGTCCTGATGGACTTCAGTGCAGATTCCGCCGACAACCCCAGCCATGCCTACATGATGGATGTGTGCAGCCCGGAGGACCAGGATCGGGGGCTGAACATCCACGCGCTACTCGCAGGTAAGAAAACCCAAACTCAGGGCGCCTTTATCATCACACAGTGAAAGCTATAAGAGAAAAGAGACCTCAAATAAATCTTTAATACATTCCAACATATTTGCTTTTCTTTCTTAATCTTGCTTTGCAGGACTAGGAGGGGGATTTGGCTACATTGTGGGTGGCATCAACTGGGACCAGACACAATTTGGAAGGTCGATGGGAGGTCAACTGCGAGTCATATACATGTTCACGAGTATAACTTTGGTGTTCGCCACAGCCATGACTCTATTGAGTATCCCCGAACGGCGCCTACCAAAGAACAAAAACTCCAGCAAAGCTCACCTAAAAAGCCCCAGCCTCCCCCTTCCATTCTCTCCCCCTGTTCCCCCAGCGGGGGGGCTGGACGAGGAAGACGAGGACGGTCTCTACAGCTACAACTTCTCAAAGTCTCACCCATACCACTCTGATTCTCTTGCCCACTCTTGCAGTGCCAATGCGAGGCTGTGTGCCGGCCTCACCAGCCCCATATCGCCCCTGAGCCCCCTCACTCCCAAATATGGCAGCTTTATCAGTCGGGACAGCTCGCTCACGGGCATCAATGACTTTGCCTCTTCATTAGGAACCTCTTATATAGACAGTGTGCTCATAGACTGCTACACGGGTCAGCAGACGCCACAGGGCCCGGCCTCCAACACTGTGCACCTGGCCCCAGGGGACCCCGCTGCTCCTGACCAGTCCACGCAGGGAGCAGAGAGCCACCCACGGTCCCAGGCCGACGCCGCGTCTCAGCCGTCTGGCGTAGCTCAGGGTGCGGACGCGCCGCAGCCCGAGGTGGAAGCCCAATCTCAGGTCACAGCCGGGGCTCAGCCGGGAGCAGGATCACACCGGGACTCCTCCGCCGGCATCCTGAAGCGACCCCAAAGTCTTGCCCTAATGGAGGAACCCATCGCAACTCAGATCGTCGGGCTGGAGAACGGACGCAGGAGAACAGTGACCTTCAGTCAGCAGGTCCGGACACATATTTTGGAAATGTTAGAAACTGTTTAGTCAGCTGAAGCCACCTGTGCACTTTTTAAAAAACACTGTGTCTTTGTTTTTTTTTTCGGATGAAGGTTGCAAACATTTTGCTGAACGGGGTGCGCTATGAGAGCGACCTGAGTGAGAACGTGGAGACGGGCGAATCGCAATTGTCAATAAGGCTGCTGTGTGTAGCCATCTACAGGATGCCCCCCTCCATGCGGAGTTTATGCACTAATCATTTCCTGGGTGAGAATTATCACTACTAAAAGCCTGCAGTGTGGTAACAAACTGTCCGGCTTGTATTTCATATTAATTGTCTCTTTCCAGGCTGGCTGTCTTTTGAAGGCATGCTGCTTTTCTACACTGACTTCATGGGGGAGGTTGTGTTTGAAGGAGACCCCAAAGCGCCCCATGACTCTGAGGCTTACCAGCGGTACAACGCTGGCGTTAGCATGGGCTGCTGGGGCATGTGCATCTATGCATTCAGCGCCGCGTTCTACTCAGGTGAGCGACGCTCGCAACCACGACATGCATGCATTGTGAGTGCAGAACGTGACATGATGTTGTCTTCCCTTTCCTCGGTAACCTTAACATCCGTCCCTCCACTTTGGTTTTTCTTTTACTTTCAGCCATATTGGAGAAACTGGAGGAGCGCTTCTCTCTTCGCACGCTCTATTTTTTTGCCTACCTGGCGTTTGGTTTGGGAACCGGCCTGGCCACACTATCCACCAACCTCTACGTGGTCCTCTCTCTGTGCGTCACCTACGGGGTGCTCTTCTCCTCTCTATGCACGCTGCCTTACTCTCTGCTGTGTGAATACTACCAGAGCCCTCAGGTCAGTATCTAGAAACGGAACTTCATGGTATTTTTATTACCTCAAAGCAGCCAGCAGTCTTAATTCAACCGTCAATTGCCTGTTGTAGCTGCATACAGTATATATATATATATATATATATATATATATACAGAGAGAGAGAGAGAGCGAGAGACCACAAGCATGAGTGATATTGATCTTCACATCTAAATCTCAGACAGAATGCGTATAATATATGTCCCAAAACTACTTCTTACCCTTAAACTGTTTGCATGTGTTCCTCAGTTTTGTGGGACGTCAGAGGAAGGGACCAGACGAGGGATGGGGGTGGACATCTCTCTGCTCAGCTGCCAGTATTTCCTGGCACAAATCCTGGTCTCTGTGGCGATGGGACCTCTGACCTCACTGGTGGGTGGGGCCCAAGGAGTGATGTACTTTTCGAGCCTGATGTCTTTCGTGGGCTGCGTGTACTCCTCTCTCTGCGTGGTGTACCAGCTGCCCCCCCCTGAGGGTGAGCCCCCCGATAGCGAGACCCAGCCACTGTTGGTCCACATTTAGAAAAGTCTCTTAGTTTGATTTACCTCACACGCACACACACACACACACACACACACAGAAGCAGTCTCAGCGGGCATGCGCTCTCACGCTGTTGCTTAGTCTCTGAGTACGTTGACCTTCACACCAGGCGGAGGGACAAAATCACTGCACAGACGGATGCGTTTTGTACAGCACAGTTCCATAGTTTGTTTCACGCCAATCGGCACCGCTCTGCTAGACAGACAGACAGGCAGACAGACACACATTGGCCACTGCTCTAAGAGGTGTGTACATGACTAGTGTGTTCATATAGTGTGTTCCATCCATTCCTTTCCTAACTTTTGCAAACGATAGTGTACCCCTTTGAATGCAGTGTGGGATAAATGGATGTGAGAGAGAGAGTGAGGGACCTCTTTGAGAATAGGAAAGCCTGAGCTGTTCTTCTGTCTGATTCTTTGCTGTAAAATCTTGCATGATATTTTCTTGCTTGTTTGTGTATAGAAATGTTGATCACTACGTACAAGCTAACCACAGCTCCCCTCCTTCTTTTTCTTCCTTTCATCAGTTGCCTAACGTCTGCATGAGCTGCGATGTAATCTCTCAAAGTCCTTTCTTTCTTTATTGTTTCGCTCGGCCGTACGGCCAAGGGAATGTCTACCTGCCTTTTTCTCTGAGTTGGAATATTAGCATCACACCGTAAGCAGGTTTTATCTGACTAAAGGAATGTGCTGCCATTCACAAACTTCAGATATTCTAGAAGCTGAACTAAATCACTAACGGTCTTGTAGAGCTTCACGTAGTTTGCATTTTAACAGCGAAAAAGCAATCATTATGAGACTTACCGGTGTGGTTGACTCTCAATCAAGCCCAAAGTATGCGTGCAACGCAAATTAAGATCTTAATCAGCAGAGAGCCCCGACAAATAAGATGCCACACCAGGCAAATTGTGTGCGTGCCCCTACCAAGCCGCGAGTTGTCACCACTCCCCCCGGCCATGCCATTGTAATAATGACAGTGATTCTTGTCATTGTCAGGAAGAGGCGAAGTTGAAACTGGGGTGTGAATCTGCATTCAGTCGGAACCTGAAAAAAACGGAAGAACAGCAAACAGGGAGAAGACTCATGTGAACAATGGGTAACCCTGACGGTGGACGACATTGAAGGAAAAAACTGTGGGGGGGGGGGGGCGTAGAGCCAGCAGCAAGTGCTTTCGGTCATCTCTAATGCTTGAGGTAGTAGGCATCTGCTGCACTCCGCGTGGCCCATCAACTCAATGTAGTCATTATCTTACTTTTGTTAGCCAGCTTCATCGGCGGAATGTTTTTCTTGTACATCGGTTGTGCCAGAGCAAACAGTATGCTTCGTTGGCCTCACTGCGTCCGACTCCTGGGCTTCAACAAAAAGGTTAACGCAAGTATTTAACCTGTTTTAAGCCTACAATTGTGATAAGTTTCATTGACTGGCGCATACGGAAACCCAGTCTTAATTGCTCCCTCAGCAGAATGTCGATACTTGCCTCCAGGACCGAATGGATGCACACCCTGCTAACGTTTATGAGGAAACAGTAACTGTATGGGTCATGCTATTGAATCTTGCTTGAGAAAAAAGGTTATATGGGACACTATTGCTCGATATTAGCAGCATTACTGTAAAAGCTACTTTAATTCAGGGTAGTTGGAACTAAAAGATCATTTTGCCACTTTGAACTGTGTCGATTGTTTTTCCACTGATAACCATAACAGCCATTTCCGGTTCCCACTCCAGCCTTCACAGAAATGATGTGCTATCTTTAAGTAGCCCACATGGGGGAGCCAGGAGACCAGACTAATCCATTCTGTGCCCCCTTTTCCATTATCAAGTGAATTAGATTATTCCTGCATCCAAGCCAGCCATTTTCCATGATAAGAAAAACTGGGTCAAGTGACATCATCTGCATTTAAAAAGATGTGTTTTAAGCATTAATAAGTAACATACACAAAAAACAAAGATCTTAAGTAAAAAGACAATTTATTTGATAATCAGAATATACAAAGCAGTGGCTGGAGTAACCGAATGTCATTCTGGTTCGGAAAAGGGCAGTCTTGCAAACAAAACTGGGCTACACAGCCATAACATAAAACTTGTTGAACTTGTAAGAAAAACAAAGTATAAATGGTACAAACTTGCGTGGAATGCATACAGAACAAATGACCAAAGCTTTAAGATTTAAGAGGGGTTAATTAACATTGCAAAATCCTGCCTCCATAAAACAAGGTCAAGCAGTCATATCATGGAGGCGCAAGACAGGACCCCTTTATCCATTTGCACCATCTGTTGTGTTAACAGGGCCGCCAAGCAACGGATTAACAAGCAGCTCAACACACAAAAAAATGATGCCTCAACTTATAATGCTAACAACTGTCCATTAGCCCCTGCTTAAAACTTATCTTTGGTCCTGAAGTGAATCTGAGAGGTCAACATGAGCAATGGAGAGTTGAGCAGCTGCCTGTAGGAATGAATTCACCCGGTCACCACCGACATAATAGAGATTGCGCTTCTAACATACCTATATAAAACCTCAAGAAATGGAAATAAAATGATCTCATGGTGTGGCCCAATTTGTACAAGTAAAAAAAAAGCTCATTTTAAAGACCAATAAATAACATTTCATAAAAAAAAAAAGGATGCCGGGCCACTATGTTTAAGGACTCCAGTGCAATGTGATAAACATGGGAGCGAGCAAAAAGAAGTATGTCTCAAAAGGTACAGAAAGCACAAGCTCTACAACACGATGTTGACCAGGCTGGTTGGACAGTGCTGCAAATAAGTAGCAGAGCGGGGACCTAAGCCTCCACTTCTGCCTCTTTTGAATCTCCATTTTCCTCTGTCTTCTGCTTTTTTGTCTCCACCTTTTCCTATTAAAAAAAGAGAAATATATTATATTTTAAGCATTAGCGATGGGTGAAATTCAGATAAGCTTTTAAAACACTTCATTATAACGGGTATTTTTCAGCCTGGTGACAACCCACCTCCTCCTCCTCCTCTTCTTCTACTGCACGCTTCACGGGTTGTGCATCGGTCTCCTCAGCAGGGGGCGCCACCTCCGCCTCTCCTGTAAGCAGTTTGTCATTTTAGAAAACACATTTCCTGACCGAGTAGAATAAAGACAGAATTCTTGTTAAAACTGAATCTTGACCATAAGGCCACGCAAGGATGTGAATTTTGTGACACAAATCCAAAGCAACAAAATTAGACTTTTAAAATGTCGCTGCAAGTATATTCTTGGAAACAGTGAGTGATATACGTGAACATACCATCATCTCCATTCTTGTGTTTCTCCTCTGCCTTTTTTTCCACTTTTTCACTGTGATCTGCACCATTCTAGATTTAGAGAGGGAGATGTCAGTCCAAGAAAACAGCAAAATTCTGAATTGAGCTTTTATTAGATGAGCAATGTTTGACAGAAAAAATAAATAAATAAGACAAATCCAGCATATTTGAAATAATCCTCCCAGCGTCCTATGCGTACAGACCCCCCTGGGGAAACTTAAAAAAAAGAGGGGCATGTGTGTGGAGCTCTCACTCCCCAGAGGATTAGCTACAAGCTAAAACTAGGGACGCCAATGGAAACGTCTACAGGCCGGCTAGCCAACATCTGTGCCATTTAACAACGCAAACAAAGCGCTGCGTGGGGAGCAGTTGAACAGGAAGGGGAGGCGGGCGCAGCGACACCTGCATGATGAGGGCCGCTAAGACAAAAGGCTGGTCCTCGTCTCCAACTCACTGTGCCATTGGCAGGTGCGTCCCCGTTGTCGGTCTTCTTCTCCACCTCCTCCTCCTTCGCCTCCTCCTTCTTCTCCCCCTCCTTCGGTTTCTCCCCCTCCTCCTTGTTCTGTTTCTCCCCCTCCTCCTTCAGGGTCGCTTCTTTCTTCTCTTTCAGCTCCTACAAAATAAAAGCACGGGCTTTTGATCAACGTGACTATTCGGCGAAAAGACTTTATTCTGAAGTGCCACGCGTTCCTAACCGCGTCTGGTTTAAAACGAGAAAGCTGGTTCTCCACACACGAGATAAAGTTTAATTCAAAAGAAAGACCACGTTGCGCCGAATTAGTGGTCAACGTTCACCACGACCCGTTAGCGCAGCGTTAAGGAGGCTGTGTCTTCCCGCCCACAGCGGCAGCTCCGCTCCAAGAGCTCCGGCTTCTCCCGCACCGCTTTGTCTGCTTATCAAGACATTTTAGCGAACCACATCACATCTCGCGTACGATATTTATCTGTACACGCCGCAGGTCACCGCTTCGGTGAATGGTTGTCGACGAGTTTACACATTTAAGGCACGTTTAATTAAAAAAAAGGTAATTTCACATTTTTTTCACCCGGTTACTGGTCAACTTAAAATGTAAAGTTAAACGGTGACGTTTAAGTGCTGCGGCCGCTTACGGCTGTCGAACCCCGAGTGTGCAACGCCAATTTTGGATATAAATAATACAACAACTTAGAAAAGTTCAACAAAAAAAAATCTTTTAACACGACAGTTCAACCGAAAGAAAAACGGAATGAAACGCACCTTGGCTGTAACCTCTGCAGTTGCGGTTTTTTCAATAGCTGTGTCGGCCATGGCTGATTTTCAAAATTAATTTAGATAATTATATTCCTGTTAAGAAAAATATATATTTTGTATTTCTTGGCTCTTTGCCTTCGTGTGGGTAGTCCAAAGGCGCTGAGAGAGAAATGATGTCTGCCTGTCTCCGCTTTTCTCTCGAGCCCGTTGAAAATCCTCTCTTGTTGGAGACAGACACACAATTGGACAATGTCTGCAGGCATGGCATTTGATAGGAGGGATATCCTGTCAATCATTATGTAGTAGCCCGCCTACTCGCCAGCTCCTCGTTGATTGGCCAATTGTATTAAAGCTCCGAAATAAGGTATAAGACTTCGTTTTTCCTGCCACACACCAGTTTTGCGTTTGATATTTGTTTCTAAAATTTAACAATGAAAATGTAGGTGGTCGCTTTTTCAAAGTAGTGATAAACCACGAAAGTCTACTGCCAGCTGAATATCGAATCAAGTAAAGGGAGTGAAAAAGTTTCTAAACATGTGCCGACGAACGGCGTCTTTTGTCTTAGCGCCCTTTCTCTGCAGAGACGGGGTATCAAATTACAAGCAGAAAAGAATAATGTGACGATTTGAAAACACTACGGCCACTCCTCCTTTCTATATTTAACACATGTAAAAAAACGTGTTCCTGCTTAAACGTGCTTACACTTTCACTGTTTTACAAAACTGGTCAATGGAGAACCGGTAACAATTTAATTTGCTCAGTCAACACGTAATGAAGAAATTACTTTATTTATCATAAAATACCGCAAAGAAAACATAGCTGCCTTAGAAAAAACGCGTTAATTCCCTTACAAATTGGAATGTATTAAAATACTAAAATAGGCAATGAAAAATTATTTAATATCAGTATACATTAAAATTTTAATTCATATAACTGTGTCCTTCTGAAGTATGTGTCATTGGAATAAAATTAGTTATTAATATTAATTATCTGTTTGAGGCAATATCTGAAACGAAGAAAAGGGGAAAAAAACAATATATCACACACTGGCTGAGATCAGGCTAAGCAATAAGTAATGTTGCTCTCAAATTTGTGAGTATCAGAGACAGCATTGGGGTGATGTGTTGTACAGTAAGTGTGTGTAGCTACAACTTTAGCTACTTAACTTTCTTTTGCAAGGCACTTGCTCATCCGACTGTTAAACCAGAGGAAGTGGTAACACTCACAATCTTGTGGGTCCTAACTCTGAAATTCAAGCCTCCGGATGGTCAGTCCCTCAATAAAAATGAATAGTTTTTTTTTATCACAAAATGTATCTTTTTTATGATACTCTGGCTTACAAATGGAATTTCAAAGGTTTCCGCGTAATCTTTATTTGCCACGCCTGTTATTGTTTTCAACCCACCCACACATATATCATTAAACCTCTACCTGCAGTTATCAGATAGTTGTCAGAGCAACAGAGTAATTTCCACTTGCAGGACTCTAGTTTACAAAACATACTTGAGTGTTCCAGATAATGGATGGATTTCAAATACTTCTAGACAGCCTGTCTGCTGTTTGTGTCCTCAACTTGCCCCAACAAACCCATTAAATATATCTTGACACAAGTATTTTTTGGGCTTGTCCTTAACCGCCTCACTCATCCTGTATGCCAGTATTCAAGCGGCTGAAGCCTGCAGGCCCCATTTGGTAATTCACCTCACATTCAGCTGAAATATTATCATGAAGGCTGTAATTACAGAGATCAAAGGGTTCTGTGTCACTGTGCAGCTGGTTACTTTGAGATGTGTGTTATGTCTGATATAAAGGAGTTCTTTTGTTTTGACTCAATCTATATTTCTAACATAACCGTATTAAGGACATATTCTAATATTGCAAATATACATGTATGAATATTTACATATATATATATATATATATATATTTTTTTTTTAATATATATATATATATAAAACAACCAGAGTCTTTACCACACATATATATATGTATATATATATATATATATATATATATATATATATATATTGGTTGTATATCATCTGGCTGAAAATATACACAAAGTAGTCTTTTAAGACAAAAACTTAAGGCAAGGCAAGAACTGGGCATGACGTGTAATATCCTTTTATTTGAGGAATAAAGACCATGTGGAGACTACAGAGCACTGAGGCGGACATCCACAATGTAATGTTCTCAGTAGATCCAGGGGAGGAACAGAAGAGCGGACTCAAAGCAGCAGCAGGCATTACTCACTCTTTTTCTGTAACTGGAAAATGGGAGCAATCAGTGGGAGAGTGTTTGTGAGATCATTTCCTGTCCGCTTTTTTTTCTTATTTGCCCAACTCAACATGTTTCCATGTGTATCTATCAGCCTATTTCACTGTGCAGGTAAGTAACTGTTGCAGCTAACCGGGTTGTAAAATATATTTAATTCATGTGGGCACTTTTTTCAAACTTCTCATTTTCCCACAACCGGAGTCTTTACCACACTTTCCACAAGTAGGAACAGGAGACCTGTTTTGAAGTTGTTCAAAATTATGGAAAAACATAAAGCAGTGCTGTATGAGAGAAAGACGTCTTTGTTTTTGCAATATAATATGTTTGACAGTAAATAAAGTGTTTTGCATTAGTTCCAGGATATAGGATGGGAAGTGCAACACAATAATTTCACTTACTTTCTTCAGGACAAAGGACTGACCTGAGTTGTGGAATGTCAGTGCTGCAGGGGTAAGAGGGCCCATGAAAGAGCATAGGGGTCTGGATTAGGCGGGGGAGGGGTCCCTATAATTGGACACATTGGTGGAGGGCAAACTGAGCTCTTTTGTTTTGAACAGCAGTGTCCTGCATGGTCTGCCTGGCTTTCTTGGCCTTTGAGGTCCTGCAGAGTACAGGACAACATGAAGTTAACTTCTCAGTGGCACGCTTTCCTTCAAATGCACAGTGATGGAGAAAGTTATTGATCTATAATTAACACGATTAAGTACAGTCATTGTGGACCATAATGGCAACATGTGCACTATTAGTGCTGCCACAAGACCCCCAGAGGTCATTCTGTATTTTCAAATAAGAAACTTATCAACCAGGAGTCACATATTCAATAACATATCTGTAAATTATCAAAGTTATTCAATGCTTTCACTGAAAAAATAATGGCTTTCGAAGGAATATTCTTTTTAAATGTCTTTATGGTTGAAAGAAAACGAAATAAAACAACAGCACGACTATGATAATAATACAAATACTAAACAGTAAATTAAGAAATGACTCCAACGATGTATAAGGGGGTATATAAAAATATATTAAATATTTACATTACAGGGGTCGCATTTCACAGTTACACTGGGGCTATTACATCACTGCAGCAGCCATTTAGGATTCTACTGAATAATGGGAGAGAAACAAAACTACCTCTACAAACAAATGTTTCAACAAAATGTCAAAATTAAAAACAAATGCAAAGTAAGAATACAACCCAAAACATTAAACGTTGAACATGAAATAATAAGATGCTTAACTGTGGTCTTAAAAAACACACAAAAGGTAAACCAAAGCTCCCCAGATTCAGGGTGCCAAGAGATACTGAAATCATGTGGTTTTCTTGTCAATATCAGACATGTAAAGGTCTACTGGTCTGTCACTCTTGCAAATAAGTCCAAAAGGATGTGCATTGTCTCCCTCCCTGTTTGCTGGATCCCATGTTGGAGCTGAAGCCTCGACACGTTGCTCCGTTCACATTCGGTTTTGGGGTCACATTACGAACCGTGGGGCTGATAAGAGGGCTTGAACCAAAAAAAAACAGGCCATTTGGCTGTTCATCTTTACTTTGACCCTGACCTAAAAGTAGTAGTAGTAGTAACAACGAGAACACATGCAGCTGAAACCTTGAAAAACCTCAAACTACAGACTGAATGGAGCCTCCCTCTGAAGGACCGGAAAAAGGTCCCCAAACAGACTCGGGACGCTTCCCCAGAGACTACATCTCCCAGCTGGCCTGTGAGCGCTTGGGGGAGGTGTTGGAAGGAACTGCTGGGGAAAAGGTCACCTGGGTGACTAGTGACTGTGTTACCACAGCTACTATGACTCAATGAGCAAAACTTTGTTATTATATAAATTCAAGAAATGCACTGTGGATGCTGCTGTTTTGTTTCTGTTTGTCACGCGCTTGTTGTGTTTCAAATCGGCTACATCGGAATTTTGTTCTGCACCCCTTTGTTTCAATGACCACACATTATTCTTAAATCCTTGAATATACCAGATGTGCACACATACAATATAAAATAGGGTTAGGTTTCATAAATCTAATTAACAAACAAGCTTTGAAGAGTAGCTTCTGTTTCCTCTTTGCACTGCTGAAGTTCTCCTGGACTACCTTATTTATTTCACCTCCTACAGCTCCACCCTTGTAACTGCCTTGCCAGAGAAGTGGAAATTTCCAGTAATTCCTTCTGCTTTGCAAGACATGCTCCTCCTCCTTCTGTTTTCCCGCCTTTCGGTCTACCTGCTCCTTCCTGCTTCACTGCCCAAGACCCCGCAGCCCCTCTGCTGCTGAGCCTCGTGGCAAAAACCTCCCATTTATCACTTAGACAAAACACAACATGTTTTTACCCTTCTGGCTCTATTTCTTCTCAATAAATGTATCCATGTTGGCCCTGAGCCTTCTGAGAGACATGCCTAGATGTTTGTTTACTAGGAAAATGAAGCTTATCCACAGAATTACCATGAAAGGGTGAGCTATAAGAGTAAGAATTGCGCTCGCTCTTGAATGATGAAAGGTTGGACCGGGAGCACAGAACAGATGGCGGATTTGCATTTCTATTTCTCTGGCTGATCTGATATTCCACAGCCTGGTTTCAGAGATTCTCCAAAGATTGTCGTCAAATCTCACACCAAGAATCGAGACATGCAATGAGCTCAAGAGATCACAGAGAAGGCCCCGATGAAGTCTTTTGGAAACAAAGTGATATCTGTTATTGTGTTTAGAGCCTGGGAGTCCAGGCTATCTCAACGCTACATCTGTGGGTTTTCATAACTTCCTCTTATTTCAAGACCACAATACAACCGTGTGCACATGAGAAACCCTGATGCTTGCTCGGGAATTAGTTGAGATAAAACATAAATAAAGCCAGCTGCAGTGGAGAAGTTTGAGTGTGTTGATGGCATGAGGCACACTGACCTTAGACCCATTGTGAAGCACCAACAAAGAGCCATCTGCACAGCAACCAAAGCTGAGACGAGGGACTCGCACACAGGGGGGATCGAGGGGTGGGAGGGACACAGAGACCTGGGGGTGGGGGGTGGTTGTAAAAAAAAAAGGAAACAAATCAGTAATCAAGAAATATTTGAATGGGACCTGATCGGCTGGATCATGTCTGAAACATGAAAGCAGTCGATGCTCAACGCGTCGGAGGTTTGTGCACAAAGAAAACAGGAAGCTGCGCACCATATCAGCTCAGAGAGTGTATGGATCGCTCCACTTCTGGTAAAGTGGAGGACGAGAGCCGCCGGCCTAATCACTCAAAACCACATTTCCTGCCTCCTGCGTGGTGAGATGAAGGCAGCCGAGGCCTTTCAAGGTTAATATTTAACACTAACCTGTATCTCACACAAGGCGGGTACCTCATTACGTCGAGCAGAAACACACCGTTCTGAATTGTAACACGATATTCTAGAGGGCTCGTGTTTTGGGGATGTGAGCAGATTTTTACAGTGCAACCAAAATTGTTTCTCTTTTGTGTGGGGTGCATTTCAAAATGGTGTAAAACAAGACAAAATGGTGGCAGGGGCATCTGTAAAAATCAAAAATGTTTCACAGGTAAGACATGAGAGTCAGGATTGCTTAGCAACAGCAGTAAAAGATTCTTGCAGGCAGTCTGGTAACACAGAAACTCATCCTGCTGCCACCCAGTGGTGCACTAATAGCACAAGCTAGGGAGGAACCGCCACCGAAAATGATCAAAGGCTCACTTCTCTAACGCCTGTGTGCAGTTTAATAAAATATCTAGAATTACCTGCGAGGTGTTAACCTGATAATTGAAGAAGGACATTATGTGAAAAAAGTGATATCCCGTTCGAAAATATCCTCAGCAACTTGATTGGCTGGAAAATGCACCAGCTCTCATGTTGCTAAGCAACGTACGTGGAAGAGTGGATTTGCGGGTGGGAGGGTGTCAGAGTTGTAAGAGGGGGTGGGGGTGTTCGTCATGAGGAGGGAACATTGTGGGTGCAGCAGGCAGACTGGCTGGGGAAATACCTGGCAACATTCCCAAATAAACAAACAAGAGAGAGAGAGGAGGACAGAGTGAGAGACATGGGACAGGGGGATTTCTGGGGTCCAGATAACAGTCTTGTTTGAGATAAAGAGAACAAGGCATTTTATAAATGCTTGTTCCCAAAGCAGAACAAGACTATAGATAGGAAGTGGAGAGCAATTCAGTGAGAACTGTCTGCAGTGAGATGAAAGTTGACAAGGACAATCCGTAATAAACGTCCAGTGCCCTACAATAAATGTATCTACGCATTAGTGTTTGTTTGATCGAGCTGTCAGTAGCATTATCAGTGTATAAAATTTCATTTTTTAAGTTAGAATAAGTTTAACTTGCAGCTGATCTAAAAAAAAGGATGAGAAAGACTTAAATTGTAAATGATTTCAAGGTGCAAAGCAGAAGGTTCGCTAGTAAAATACAGGAACCGTTAAGCTGAGGGAAGAGAAAAGGTGGAAAATGTGCTTATATGGAGAGGGAAGGGTAAATAAAGCTGCTGCTGCCGGTAGGTTCGGCCTGCAGAAGGAGGCGGGCCTTGAAATGGCTGATGCAGGCGGTCTCTACAGGCAATGAGGACTCTTTTGTCAGCAGTAGGAAATGAGGTTTCTGTTGTGATTAAAAGGAAGGTTTCTATGGCAATGCAGAGGGCCGTGTGCACAGAGCGTTTGCTGGGAGTGGAGGGGGCTAAGTGAGAGTAGAATTTCAAAGAAAGCAGCCTCCTCCATCTCATCTCCCACCGTCGCCTCCCGTCTGCTTTTCCTCAGCGCTCCTTTATCTGTGATAATCTGTTTTCATAAGCACACAGTTGGGGCTGCAGGGAGGATTATCCTGAGCAACCCAAGTCATTGGTCAATCAGTCATAAATGTTAACGGAGTAACAGTTTCACTTCCCAATACCTATACTACAAAACATTTAACAGATATGCTAATTAAAACCCACACAATTCTATTTAGATCATTGACATAATTACATTTCCCAGCTCATTCTTTCCTTGCAAAACACATGATAAATAAATAGAAAAAAAGCAATGATGGCATCAAGGTGACCTTTAATGCTGAACATAGCACAATCCTTTTTTTAAAAATTGTTTCAGTTGAAAAAAAAATCTGTTTCTTAGAATAAGTTCCCCGTACCGTCTCATATGTACAGAGGAAGCTGCTCTCTTCAGCTGTCCATGACAAATTCTCCCCACCAGAGGCTCACCGCAGGATGTTTGGATAAGATGACATTTGAAACCCATGAGGATCAAAGTGAGGTTTAAAAAAACACACATTACAAGCCACATTAATTGAATACAAGATGCAGACGCTCCTGATATTGCAACACGTGAAGTAAATATAGGAAGTCCACGCTACAAACAGGTAGCTGACTGAGCATGAAGAGTGGTTGATTCTAACGATTGAGATAACTAATAAAACAGATGCCAGATACCAGTTTATTAATCACATAAATAACAATAAATGAGCGTGATTCGGCAAAACACATCTGCATAATTTCAGCAACCAAAATATGTTCTAAATCTGTGTGTACAGTGTAGCGCAAAATGCTCCTCTTGTCCTTTTTAGAAACACAGGCTTAAGGGCTCAGTCTGCCAATTAGGATTACAAAAGGTTCTGCTGCCCCCAACCTTTCTGTTTGAGCATAGCAGCAACCATCACGTAATGAAGAGCTGCCAGAGCGGGAGGGTTGTACTGCAACCAGATTGCACAGTCAAAGCCAGATGGCAAGTCCCACATCAAAAGGACAGCTGGTTACCAGAATCTGAAAGGGCATCTCTATAGCTCCAAACCTAATTAGTTTCAACGAAACAAATCCCACCAACATGTGGCCATTGAACAAGTCATGCCAATAAGTCCTCATAATAGGTGACATGCATAACATAATTAAGCTTTAAATGTTTACATGTGCAGCCTGCAACATTTCAAAATGGTCAATCTGGCTGGTTCTCACCAGTGGCCACAACAAAAGCAGGCTCTCCAGATTCAGATGAAGAGGATCCCAATTCAAACATAGAGGCCAATATGTCAGATTAGTGGGTCCTCCAGAGAGCGCAGCCGGCCACCAAACTGCTGGTTGATCTTTGAGGCTTTGGTTGCTGCCTGCCGAGCTGAGCTCTCTTTCTGCAGAACCTGTGAATCATGTCCAGAAGAATGAACAAAGTACTGGGAGAACTGTATCACGAGGAAAAGCTGGATTTAAGATTGAATTTAAGTGCAGGACCGGCACTAACCCCTTTCCATATCCGTTTGCGCAGTTCCCCCTGTGAAAGTGGTCGTTCGTCCTCGTCGGTGACAGGAGACTCTTCTGGATCAAATCCCAAACTGTGGAGTCCAACACAGACGGAGATATCAACCGGATATTCACAGTGTTTAAATGCATGTGTGAGTTTAATAATAATAATAAACACACAGGCATCAAATTGACCAGATAGAAAGCAGACCTGTGGATTTCAGGTTGGATGTTGACAGTCTGCTGAAGCAGTTCTGGATTTTGACCCAAAAGAAATGTGGCTAAGTCTTTTGGATTGTAGTCCTTTTCTAGATCCTGCAAGAGTCAAAAATCCAGAGACACTGTACATTACGTGGCAGAAATACGACGGGAACCGTCGCAAGAAAAGGAAAGCCAGAGATTGACAGGTTACTTTAGAATTGAGGAAAGCTCGTATGGTGAGCAGCTCGTTGGTCTTCTGTTCCACCAGACCCAGGTGGGACATGATGTTGTTCTCAGCGCTCCCTGTAGACGAGCCCAGTGTATCCTCCATCACTGAGCGGTCACAATCCATTTTAGAGAAGATGCTGGTCACGCCTGTGAGATGGGAAAGACCAGATTCTAATATAAATGTATTTGTAATTTCTTGATAATTTTAAGGTTTGTCTCCAGGAAATATAATATAATTTGATAACTGTTTTAAGGGATATAACTTTTGCTTGAGAGAACTGCTCAGATCAAACCAGTGTAAACATTCAATGATTATTAATGTCCTGTTGGATTTTTTTTAATAGTCATGTGTTTTATATGCTTAACCACATGCTTGTCTGTAGAATTTCTTTTACACGTTTTGCACGATTACCCGACCAGCTGAACACTCTAAAAGACTCAAGGTCACGCTGCCTATATGTTGGAATTAATTATTTAATTTATATTAATAGAACCGTGTTCCGATTTTCCCTGTAATTACTAATTATAAAACTACTTGATGACCTGACTTAGAAGAATGAGGAAATTATAGACCAGTAAAATAACTGTGGCCAAACTAAGGCTGGGGGTAAAGGGTAACAATATTTTTTACCTAGAATACTTAGATACCAATTTTGCAGCAATACTGGATGGTTTTTGTGGTATTCGTGATGAGTAATATGGATATGATGGCAAATGATAGAACAGTCTGGTATCAGAAAATGAATGAGTGTGATATCAAAATGTAAGACAATATTCTGCCTCAATTATCAATACAATATTGAAATAATTCCTTGCTGTATGCCAAACCTGTTTTGATCTCGTCCAGTATTTGGCTTATGATGCCGGCTTGGATTTCATAGTCCTCGGCTTGAAACTGGTTTTCCTTTTGTTGCTGTTCGATGTCTCTCAGCAGAGAGCGATGATCCTGCTCCTGCTGCAGATCTGCTGCACGTAATTGCTGTATCTCTGCTTGTGTCTACAAATTCACACATTCACATATTGACGTTAAAATATATAAATAATTGGTGTGAACCAACCACCCGCAGTAGAAAAAACACTCACCTTGCTGATATGATCTCGCAGGGCCTCAGCCTCCATGTTTTGCTCATTTACAAAGTTGAAGTGTGCAAAGTTCTGGTCTTCAACTGGGCAGAAAAAACAGCAATACAAAAATAGAGAAACATTTAAATCTCTTCAACTGAAACTAAACTGTTTACCGCAAGTGTTGTCTTTGTGCGAGTCTGACACAGTCAGCGTGTGTTGGTAATACGTACCCTGGATGAACCTGGAGACCAGCATGTCCAGGTTGTCCTCCCCGGTCACTGTCTGGATCCTCTCGAACACCTCCTCCAGAACGCCCGGCGACTCTTCCCCTGAGGACGTCCTCCTCTGCTCCTTCGTCTCTGCCACTTGGAAACAGAAGCACCTTCATGTCAGTACCATCAGCACTGTATAACGGCCGCTTTCGGCGTCGCTATCATCTGTTTTTTATTTTTAAATCAGTGCTGCTACTAGAGACGCTGAAGTCTGAAGTCTTTAAGCCATCTAGTCTGCTCAGAACAGCTTTTCTGAGGAATTCAAAGCACGCACATTTATCAATATGCATTCAACAGTATTTTTGTTGTGTTTTGTTTATGTACACAAAAAAAAATGAATATAACCAATGTCATTCAGGAAAACGTTGCGAACATAATTCGACATACAATATTTCGCATAACCTATTTTTCAATAACAGTAATGGTTATTTTAGAATTACACCGGGTCCCAGCTACAATTATTTAACACATCCCTAAAACCAAACCCCAATTTCTGGCTACTCGTCCCTGAAACAACACACTGAGAAGTCCAATGTTACAGCCACGATTATCTTTGCGGCCTGATTCACCTCCCAGTGTTCTCTCTGTCTCTCTGTTCTCTGCTAAAACCACAGGGAGCACCTGAGAGTTATTTATGTCTGGTTGCAGCTAGCAGCTTGCTCTCTGTTTGACCGTCCACATCTGTCATTAATGCACACCACACCCTGCACACTTCACTTATATCCTCGCCCCATTTTTCAAATACTGAAGTTAAATAAAGCTTCTTTTGTTAATTGTTCCTATAGCGCGTCTGTCTTTTGTTATTGCCACTGAGGCCAGGTATTAACAGAGTGTTCAATAAATTGCTGGAAGGACAGACTGTTTCCAGGAACGTTAACACTTGTTTTTGTTTCTACAATTAATTAATGACAATTGATATTTTAATTTGTGTGTCAATTGTACTGGGTTAACACTGTTTGATTGACTATTAGTTGCACTTACCAATCACTGCTTTCGCTAATTCCAAGTCCAATTTACATTTTGACTGAAAGCAGACATACCAATAAAAAAATAAAATGTTACTGACACATCTGAGGACGTATTGTATTTTTGATTAAACCCCCCCCCCCCCACATTTCTGTGAGCAATAACTCCGCAATTGTGACAGGTCTGCCTGTGTTGGATATATATATATATATATATATATATATATATATATATATATATATATATATATATATATATATATATATATAAGGTGTGCTAGAAGTTCACCAGCACAGTGGAAACACCTGAGCTCATCAGCAGCTCTTGCCACACATGGGCGTGTGCTTCTGCACTCTTTTGACATTATGGTATGTTCCACCACTACACAACATTGCATACGCACTTCGCAGTCACGCACTAACCCACCCCGCTGAATTTACCGCCACCACCCACCACTGTTAGTTTGGCCGTGCTGCCCAGTTTGTGTCGCAATGCTGTGGCGTTTGCCAGTATACCGTTGGGCAAAGACGGGGAATGACGAATGGATGTTAGATAGATGTCTTTTTTCATTATCATAGTTGTCAAAACAGCAAACCGTGGCCCAACACACTCTTACGTTGTTTGTGTTCCATCTCATTGCCCCGGTCCTGCTCACTCCTCTCGCTGCACTTGGTGGTCATAAACTCCTTCAGGCTGAACTCTTGTGCAATAACCCTTTCCAGTTCCTTCATCTCAGCATTGTACTGGGCGAGGTCCTTCTCTGCCTTCTCCTTCATCATCGTCATCTTGGACTGAGCTTCCACTCTAAAGTACAAAGGTTTATAAATAATGCCCAAACAAAGGTTAATGACACGCATATCAGTTTGATAAGTTACACAACAGTCGAAAATATGACCTGGCATCGTAGGCTGCAGTGGACAGGTTGACAATTTCCCTGATTTTCTTTCGGACATCGTAGAGTTCCTACAACACACAAAAAATAAAACTGTGTTGAAAACCAGCTCACAAACAGTTCTTTGAATGACGCGTGGTGTTGGCCTCTGACCTTGTCCAGTTTGTTGTGTAGTTGCTGGAAACGGATGCGCTCAATGTGAAGTGTCTGCAACTCCTCTCTCAGGTGGCAGTTTTTGGTCAGCTGCTCATTGAAGCGAGTCAAGCACTGGAGAGGACATAGAACATAGAACATTAATCAGCCGTTAATGCCAAATAAGTACATGCGATCGCATGCTATGCCGTGTAAAAACAGAAAAGGAATAAGAATATACATTGATAGTAGTTGGGAGTCTGTTATTTTGTGATAATGAATTTCACAACTTACTTTGTTCAGTTTGTATTCCAAAGTGCGTACGGCCTTCTGAGTCCGCTGTAACACAGACGTCTGCGCATCCCCAGTACTGACCTCCCCTTTCCTCAACTCTACCAGCTTCAACTCCATGTTTGTAATCTGCTTATCACAAAAACACAACATAAACTGTTTTCTATTACCAAATATATCACTAAACATGACATATATAGGATCATATTGAGTTACTGGCAAACTTTCATCACCTCTTTCTCAAGTTCTTTTTGACGCTGCTTCTCTTTCTCCGTCTCCTCCTCTAACACGTCTCTCTGCTCCAGCAGAGCACGGAGACACTGAGCTGTCTCGCTGTCCTGCTGTTGGCGTGACAAGCTTTTAAATGCACCAAGGTTCATATGCAGGTCCTCCTGCTCCTTCAGCAGATTCTGTATCTCCTGCCTTCATCCACATCACATACATACAACTCATTAGGCAAATACAAAAAAAAAACACGCGTAGACATTTGACAAAGTGATGTGGGCGTAGTGATTATTTACTGTTGTTTGCGGATCTGCTTCCTGGCCTGAATGTTGTAGGCCTGCCGATCTCCTTCCATGATCCTGAACTGTCTCTGCAGTTTGGCTATCTCTGATTCTGCTTTAATAAATCGTATGCACATTATAGCTGCATCAACCATGCAATGTGCAAGATAAGAGTTAACATCTATGAGTTGATAGCAACATAACTAAAATTACCTGTTCCATCAATATCCATCTCAGTGCTGTCTGAGTGGGCACTACTGGCCAATCTTCTCCGTGGCATCGTGACACTGGGCTTTCTTGGATGGAAATAAAAATTAAAGTGATGTTTCTTGCAGAAAGTAATGAACATCTACTCGTGGAAATGACCTTTTCCTTTCCTTAGAACCATTAGTTCTATTCCAACCAAACCTCATGTTAAATTTGAGGATTGAAAGCTTAAGCTTGTTGTCTTAACTATGTACTTGAAACACACATTTAAAGTGTAGATGTTTTATTTTACTACTGCATACCTTGTGTGGTAGTTTTACTTTTGAACAATACACATTTATCTCCACAAACCAGAACTGTGAGCAGAGCTGCATGATTGTTTTTCACAGCACGATCAAATATCGATTTACCGATCTTGGCTTAAGATCGTCCGACTGGCAGAGCAATAATAATATTCAGTTATAAGATAGAAAGGCCATCAAATCGAGCATACCCACAACGCACACTAATAACATGGCTAGAAAAACCAAACAAAGTAGCCATGATTCTTGCGAGCTGCTATAGAAAAACTCATCTATTCTGATGAACCTCTATCTAAAAACATCTACCCTGGTTACAGTTAGCTAACATATGAAAGGGATCTAAAATGTGCCAGACGTTGAGAACAAATAATAATGAATCTCACCAGTTTTTAAGTAAAAACCCCAGCGCCACCTCCCAGGACACACGGCAGGCTCACAGCAGCCCTGAGTTGTTAGCAACCGTTGCTAAGGGCCCTGGGAGTCTCTGACAGACAGCTTGAGTGCAGAGGGCCAAAAACGTGACACACAACATGGGGGGAGGGGACATTGTTTGTGTGAAAATTTAAAAAAAGTGTGTTACTTTAATCGGTGTTTATCCTCTATACCAGTAGATGGCTGTATGAGTATAATTCATCTGTAAGTATTAATATATTCCAATTTCTTCATGTATTTAATGGTTTTCATTTTCATTCAATTTTTTATTGAGCATGTATACTTTCTCGATGTCCAGCTGTATAATTCAGATCCACACATGCCGACGTGGACGAAGGAGCATGTGTTGATTGTTTTGCAATAAATAGTACTAATAGAAAAATGATGGTCTATTATTATTGAACACCTCTAATTGGACGTGGCTTCCTGTTGTTACCTTCGCCATCACCCCTGCCACTCATCACTCGTCATTGCCACCGTCGTCATCACCATTCACCCCTTCAAACCTGCATGTCCTGTTCAAGCCTCTTAAGAGGCCTCTTAATTAAGAACTATGGCAAACTCACGTCATCAATGTGTAGGTGTCGGTCATGTCAATTGTTCTGTAATGTTCTTTTGTGTGAGGACGGCTATAAAAGTTGAGTGCACAGCTACAGCAATTCTAATGTTGTGACGCCCATCTTTTTTTGTAGAAAAATGTTTGCCTACCTTGTTCGGCATTGTTTTTAGCTGTATGTTTATTTCCGAACAACTAAACATGAATTATTCATTAATTAGCCATTTGGGGCCCCAGGTTACAAGTCAGACACCAATACACCCACATCAGCAAGTCATGATCTTTATTAGTAAATCTCCCACTTACTTTAATATCATCAAATGAAATCTGCACACATTTAGATTGGTAGAGAAGGACTACATTTCCCTAACGAACTTCAGCTTTTGAATTGATGCAGCAGAACGGAAGGAAGTACAACATTCCTTAAGAAAAGTATAAAATAGCATGATTTTCATATGCTTTGGCTTAATTAAAGTAGTAGAGTGTGTAATTTAATTTATTAAATGCTTTTCACCACTAATTAAATTTACACTCAAAACTAAAATATTGTAGGGCTACGTTCATTACATTTTCAAATTGTACATACTGTATCAGTAGCTTTAAAAGCCATGCAGTAAAATGTTATCCCATATAAATACACATATTTGCATTTGTATTGCATAAACATAGAAATGTTAGCCATGTTAACCGAGAAATATTTACTCTTTATTATAATGTAAATGACAAAATGCACATTTAAGCGGATGCCTTTTTTTTCTTCTTACCACAACATTTATATTACAGTCTAAGTGTCCATACCGTAGTCCTAAAGTAGTTCATGACACACGCAAACTTTCACAAATACGGCAGGCAAGTGTAAAAATTACAAGATGTTTGACTGGTACAGATTATTTTAAGCATAAAACTGCAATTAAGTTCATGTCCTTTCCTCATTCTGGGGCTGTGGTTCCTCGCTAGCTTGTGTTACTGGAGCCCCCTCTAGGAAGGTACCAAATTGCTCTGCTGTATTGAGCTCAGGCGTTCTCAACAGCAAGTAGCATTTTGGGAAGTAGTAGGCTGCCACCAATGCCAAGTTGCTTGCTAGGGAGAAAAGAACATGCACTATAGACTTGCCCTTCACTTCCATACCCATGTAGATCGGTATAAAGGTCACCCATATCACGCAGTAGAACAGAGAGGAGAAGGTGATGTCCCTGGCGAGGTTGTACTGGTGAAGAGGCTTTGTTGCCATGAAGGTGCACATAAAAGATACGAGGGCCATTAGGCAGTTGAAACCTTGTATGAGAGCAAATCCAGACAAGGGTGACATTGGACATGCCAGAAACGCTGCCACAAAGTTTATTTCCATATTTGCCTTATACTGAGACAGCGAAGGCCCGTCGTGAACAAAAAAGCCACACAGACCGGCCTGCAGAACACAGCACGCCAGCACAAACAGCCAGGTTCCGGGGCCTCTTAGTACGTGCAGATGAGAGGCGGCCTTCTTTGGGAACTCTGTCGCGTACAGAATCTGTTGAAAAAGACGCAATTGTCACAAGATTGCGTGCTTTTTTTGTCTTACAGTTGTCTGCATTAAAGTTCTTTGCTTGTCATTTCTCACCTGCAGGGAGATGAAAGTCATAATGGAGAGGGCCACTGATTGGAAAATGGAGAAGAAGGGCAGCTGAATACGACACACCAAGTCCCCCGGCGTCCCCAGGAAGAGCAGAAGACTGAGGCAAGCTCCCATCAGGCTAACCAGAGCCACATAACTTAGGGCTCCCCCCGAGGCTGTTATCACCGGGGTCCCCCGGTGTTTCAGGAACACAACACCCACTGAAATCTCACACACCAGGAGCAGCACCACAGCCAGTGTGAGTCCCAGAGCCTCGGATGTGTCCCAGGACAAATAGGAGAAGGTGGGTGGTTTGCAAACAGTGCTGCGGTGCTCGGACCACGTACGATTTGGGCACTTTGTGCACTGGATGTCGTCTAGAAGTCAGAAAGCACAACATTTTCCCGAAAAATGCTTCGGTATTACTTTAAATTTGGATTAGTTGTTGACAGATAGCACATTACCATGTTTTGCATGGTAAGTTCCGTGCAAACAGTCGATACAATCAAAACAGCAGGAATGGAAGCCTTTGACTCTGCGGACTTGCCCCTCCATACAGTCTGCTGAACAGGTGGACATAGGAACCTGCAGAAGTTGTGCCATTAAAGTTAGAATTGCAATGGTAACCATTGCAACATTTTAGGAATCAAAACTGGATTATGATCGTGTGGAAGATGACCACAAATCATTGTGCACAAACAAGTATACATGTTCAACGGTTTCTAACAATTTCTTTGTAATTTGCTGAAATTACCTCTGTGTTTGTAGTGTGCCATTTGAAGAGGGTTTTGTTGATTAACAACTTTCCAGGAAAGCTACCAACAGGTACAAATTCAAAATGTGAAGCGTTCCAGACCCACTGAATTATATCATATCCTATATTTGGGTTGCCTTGACTGTCAAACTGTAAATGTGTGCCGTTTATGTTCACAGACGTATTCTTTAAAACCTCCAACAGCTGCAAGACAAGATTTGTATTAATACATTCATGTTAGTGCTGTTAACCGGTTATTTTATTACAAATCACAATCATACAGCAGACTAACAAAATAAATCACCTTCCAGGGAAGGATTTGGGTTTCAGGTCCGTGGATGCAGGCGGTTGAATTGCATTGCAGCAGGTTGTGCAGGGCCTGTGCAACACTGTAGATGGCGGCATACACACTGAAAGCTTGGTGCTCCACTGCGGGATCTTTGACCAGGGTAATATTTGCAGTTGACAGGTCCCAACATCGTGGGCAGGGATTTTTTGTATAATTTGATTTAGGTGCTGGATGGCCGGTCCTTTCCCTTTCTTTGCTCAGTTTGATGAGGAGCTCCTGCGTGTAGTCTGTGAGCAGGTCCAGGCGCTTTGTCTTCTCAATGAAACCGATGATGGTGCCGACTCCTCTGATATTGGGGAGCGAAGTCAATTGATCACTCATGGACCAACTTGTGCTGCCAATCCACACGGCAGTTACATTCCTCTTGATGACCTGGAGTAGATTGGATTGGATCAGTTTGTGTGAAACGTATGTAATCCGTCTACCAACAACATGTAATACTTGTACACTACTTCTAAAGTGCACTAACCTCAATAAAAAGGAGCTTAGCTTGCTCCCCAATAGAAAAGACCACTACCACATTAACTTTGGTTGCGACGATGTTGTCGATGATGGTATCTATTGCGTATTTAGGGGCCGTATACACTGGAATTAGTCCCTGATAGGCCACACAGATGGACGTGTTCTCTGCCAATTTGGAGAATTCCTGCACACCAGCTTTTCCATACTCCTCTTCACTGCCCACCACTGCCACCCAGTTCCAAGCAAAGCGCTCCAACAGTTCCACCATGGCCGCCACTTGCCATTTGTCACTGGGAACCGTGCGGAAGAATGACGGGTAGAGAAGCTTGTTACTGAATTTGTCACTGGTGGCACCAAAGCTTACCTGGATTGAGAAAATCCACGACACGCAGATGTTAACAATCAATTCTCCACTCTTGAAATAAAAGGCCTAATGCACATTTACTGTGGTCGCAGATCATTTTTACAGCAAGTGGGCAAGTGCTCTCAATCTACCTGCAGTTTCAAAAGGGGGGCAATTATGGGCAATTATAACAACAAATGATTAGGCATTTGTAGGACAGCAAGCATTCATCTTTTTCTAAAAGACTCACTTGCCTCTGTGATAAAATAATCATCTTATTTGCTGAACAAGAAGCAAATTTCCAGCCTCACTTTGCAAATGAGATTTTAGCATTTGGAATATTCCACAAAAATGTGTTTAACCAGGCCAAGATGTGAATGTCAGCAGACATATGACTTGACATGTATGTAGCCATACCTGCGGCATCAGAAAGAATCCCAGGAGTTTTCCTATGACCGATACCATTTCTGAGCTTAGGGGACCAATCACCGCTGATATGCTGGTCTCATATTCTGTGTAATTACACTGCACAGATAGGGCTTTGTTGGATTTTGCAGCGAGGAAAGACAAGGTGGGCTTTACAACGACGGCAGATTGTTTGCATGTATCATAGGTTTCAAAACCCAACTTGATGCCAGGAAGCAGAATTTGTTGTGCATTGATCTCATCCACTGCATATTTCATTACCAGAGCGAGGCCAAGTCCTAATGTATTTACACTGTGGGAACACAAGCAAATAAAAGAGAAAACAAAGTAGAAATGTGGTTAGTTGGGTAAAGCTTAGATATTTGTGCAGAATCTCAAATAATGCGGTCATTATTTTCCCAAGACTGTTGTTTTTCACAACATCTTACCTTTCACAACTGATGTTGTCAGGCTCCCTCCTCTGGCTGAGGTTGCTGGAGAGCATGTTAATGGGAAAAAGCCCTCCGAGCATAATGTCCCCAGGCAAATGGAAGAGGTCGGTAGAAATGTTGTGAAACCATTCAGGTGGATTCTCACTGCAGGTCGGTCTGAATGCCCAGCACAAAACTAACAGAGTGAAAGGTGCAGCCATGTTGCACATGGCCAGGACTGAAGCCTGAAGTAATGAGAACAGCGTGCATATGTGTCAGTGCATCAGTTGTTGTATGCAAACTCACCCGAAACCGCCAAAGTCAAATTGGTGCAATGGGCCCCTCCCATAACCGGCCACCGGAGGATGTGATACAAAGTTACCGCAAACCGGCTCAAATGATCCTCATACCATTTCACCCATATTTACATCTGTGGGATGAAATCACATGACATTTTCTTTTACCAATCTTATCATAAAAAGCAATATCTGTATAATTTCACTATTATTATGATAATGTCTAGATCAGAACCTTCCTAATTTTGAAGGACTTGTGAATGATATAGCATATTTTTTAATTACACTATTGTCTAATTTGTCTTGCTCTGTAGTGAAGAAGGAAACATTCACTCTGCATCTTTAGTGTATGTATTTGTGTGTGTTGTGTTACATTCAACAGCCATAAATAAGATAACCAGCAAGTGTCAAAAGCTCAATACTGCCAGAGCTGATTTGTATTGAATGTTTTTATTTTTCCTGTTTTGCATTCACCTCAGCGTTGCTTTTGCATCTACATTTGCATGCAACACTGAATGTGGATATTCCCCACAAGGACATGGACATATTTCCTAGCAAAGATATTTGCATGAAAACCAACAGTAGACGTAATGCTTTTCTAAATGGTCCTGGACATATTTAGCAAACCGTAATATGTTTCTGGTGGTCACACAGCTTGGAAAAACGTGTGTAGTCGGACAAAAATTAAAGTGGTGAAATAAGAACAAATGTGAGATACTGTAAAATAAATACTAGGAGAAAGAATATAGTATCCCCTAGATTACAATTATGTTCTCCACACGAAGCGCAGAAACAAAGCAACGGCACACAGATCAAGAGGCTTTTTTGTGATAATAGCTTCTAGCTGTAGGACATTCATACTTTTCCCAAACAAACTAGAAATGACCTTTTATATTTCAGTGTCAGGGGATTGTTTGTTCTGAAAATGAAAATTTCATTTGAAATGAAATGCAATGGAAAGGAAAATGGCGTATTCTTTTTCATCATTAAAAGGAGAGAAGATTTTTTTTTTTAAACGAAGTAAGTGGCATATGACAGGCTAGAAATTGCACGACAGCTAATCAATAGCAGATGCACTGACAGAATGATAGATCAGGAAAGTAAATGGAAACAAAAAGGAGACTGCTTCATTGTAATTCACAAGGCAGACTTGGATTTTGTTCTTTACCATTACTTTGATATTTTGCCTACTCACTTTCATACGACGTCCTAAACAGGGTCAATGGAGTCAAGTTTTATAATCTGAGTGACCCGTGAACACAAGATTCTCATGTAATTAATATGTCAAGAATTAGTTGTCCAACAGGCAGGGCAAGCCTGATTGCAAGGCAAATTAACATGCACACCTTAATGTCAGTTGATTTACAACCACTTGCAGTTTTTGGTTGTCATTCATTAATGATCTGACTGTACAGTGCAATTGCCTACCATCTTGTTGTTGTTTACTGTGTAGTTATACTTATCTTTAGTCTTATATATGTACTTGACATGTTAAAACATAGTTTTTGTTCATTGACTGAGGTATTTTGCATCAGATGTCATGTAATATAATAATGAACATGTTCCTCCCTAATAGTTTTACTATAATTATCACAACAAACCTTAAGTTTGTCACTTGTCTGAGGTGCACGACATCAGTTACAGGAAGGGTATGGTCAGGGACATGAGGAGGTATTCTGTTGCTATCTTATGTTGTTATCTTGTTATCTTGTTAGTCATGTTGACGTAAGAACACCGACGATGACGCTCAATGTTGTCAGCACAGCCTGTCTATTTGTTTCACTTACAGATCGTTCTCACACAACAAGCCGGGAATCCAAAGTTCAAATCATGTGAATAATGTGAATGACATTATTTGCAGAAATATTTCAAATAGCTTACAATTGTCCGACTGGATATTATGTTGGCTCAGTCATTGTGTTTCTGCTCTGCTCTTGCATGCAGACAGCGGATTCAGATTAACATCTTGTTTTCATTTTGTTTGATTATTTGCATCACCCTCACACACACACACACACACACACACACACACACACACACACACACACACACACACACATGCAAACAGCACCCGTCTGCTTCAAACTCAATGCAGTGGAATTTGGGCGATAACGCATCCCTGTTTAAAAAGAAAATTTGCAAAAGCAAGATGCAATGTGTTGGTTTCTCTGGACAACCCACATATATTGGTGTCAACTTATAGAAACCCTCTAATGAATATTTACAAAAATATATATTTTACATGTATATATTTGATATATTATCTACTATATGTCAATGTTATAACAGTGGACCATTTGATTTTTGAAACTGCACTCTCAAACCCCTTTATGTTTTTAAAACGAAAGTGTTGGTTTACATTTAGTTAAATGATTTTGATTTCACACATTTGACCCAACAGCCTGGACGGTCTCCTGGACCGTCAACTACAAAGGTAACCCCCAAGGAAGAACCCTCAATCCCTCAAAATGTTCTTAACAATTTTTTGTTAACAAATTTTGTTATAACTAAAATTGTCCGGATACATTATGAAATTCGGATTTTTAATATTGTCATTCTTGGTTATTTTGTTTCCTTCCATTCTCAACACAAACCATCGGAGTGTTATTTTCAATCTTAAATATCATATTTTACAAGCAATTTAGCAAAGCGTTTCTCTTCCTTATCAAAACGTGCCATCTACATTACCCACAATGCAACTGCAACACAGAGAGTTCCTACTGGGGGGCTACTTCAACTTTTTACTCCACACCTCCAGATGTTTTCCAAAAACAAATATATCGAATAATTTACTTTAACAATGACATGAAGAAGCAGCAGAGTATTCATCAATTTTGTGGGTTTATGCTGAATAATGACTGAGATGATTTTCAATTGTTGTAGGTTAATTGATCAACTATTAAACTGTCCTTGAGTTGATGGAGGCTGGTGAGAAACTATTATAACTGACATGACATGGACAAACTTGTCCTATAGAAAAGGGTTTACAATTGCATGTTTCCCTCTGGTTGACTCGACTCTCTAAGTGTGGACATTTATACAGCTCAACCACTAGATGTCGTGTGTGCGTCTGTGTGTGTTGTATTTTCTTTCCCCTTGCACTCATATTGTCAGTCTTCAAAGGGATGTTGAAATCTGCCACTACACTTGTGTACAACGTTACCAGGAGCTGGTAAGAAGAAAGAGACGTATTGTGCCGATGATGATGGAGGTGAAGGTGCAGCGTCCTGTAGCTCTGTGGGAAGCAGGAACATTGTGTAGCAAAAGGTTGTTTGAACAACTGATAACAGAGGGGAGTCAACCTGCCTAAATACTGACATGATTTTCGTGGTGCTTTCTTTTCATTTAGAGTTTGATGACACGTCTTTTTGTTGTTGCTGTAAACCTATTTGTCAGTAGTTTTCCATAGGGTGCCCTTTTGACCTGCAAAGAAGGGAACATTGTTGCGCAACACCTCTCGGCTCTAGAAAAACCCAGACGTTCTCTGCATCAAGGGAGCCCCCCTGTGTGATGTGAAGAAGTAGATACTGGCACACGAATGGGTACATTGTGCACGCGTTATGTACTGGCAAACGTAATATGCCACCAGTGCCCCCCTCTGTCAGTCCCGATTGGCCGTGTCTATTTCAACAACTCTGAGCTAGATTTCCTCCCTGAGAGAGACCCTTCCCTCCCCCTACTCCCCCCCTTTAGCCTGCACAGTTACCGGATAAGCCTCGCGCTCTAATCTCCATCGCTGGCCTGAGAAACACTGGGCCCGTTGTTGACATGCTGGCCTCATACCCCACAGGGGCTGACAAATTATTAGCCAGAATATCTGTGCAGCGAGCCTGTGCAGCCAGGCAGCAGAGAGGGGAGCTGTGCTGCCCCGACATCTGTCTTGATCACTTTTATGGCAATGATGCCGGAGGAAATGAGGGAACGACGGAGTGGTGGGGGGTGTTCAACTAGCTGTGGCGGTGCAACATTCCTCCGTGCAGAAACGCTCATGCCTTTTATCACAGCCTCAACGCTTGCGGTACGAAGGTGTCATACCCATGAAGGGTTAAATAAAGAATTCTTTCTCTCTCCCTCCAGCAGTAAAACTCGTTCTACTCCGTGTCTTCAGGCTGTGTGTGTGTTGCTCACAAGTGTGTTGCAACTTGTATTCGTACATACGTTCTCCTATGCAGGGATATATAAACAATACCATACATTAGCGTGCAATATTTTATGTAGTTACAGTCAAATTTGTCCAGGCCTTTGCTTTCTTTCACATCCATACATGCTTTAAACGTATCACACTTCTCTGTAGAGGTTTATTCACGGCTGCAGCATTGCACTTGCGCACAGCAGTGAGAAGGCTTAACTAAAATTCAACAAAAAGTGTCCAAAAATTAACCCGATTCTTAGAACTGTGTTGGCACTTTCCAAGGACTGGAACATTAATGTTTGCACTCTGGGTTGATTAACCTGCAGCAAAGCCATTTACAGTTCACATGGGGGACAAGAGTGTTTGGCTTCATCTGTGTCAGTCTGCCCCCCCCTGCTTAAACAGCAGTGAATGACTGATAGCAGCAGCGGGTCCTGGGCCCGGAGCGGTTGGACATTCATGACCTGTTCGATAATCACAGAGAAGAAAGAGGAAAGTGTGTCACCTTGTCCTGGAGAGTTGCGCTGTGTTATGAAATGGCATGAAAGGAGGTTGGCGAACAGCTGACTTTCACGGTTGTCAAGCAAAGAGTGGAGTAAGTAAGCGTTGGAAAACACTGCTTGATTTATTCAGAGTGTTCAGGCAGTGAGTTGGGGGGGTTGGTGGCGGTGGGTGGGCCGGCGGTAGAATGACGGGGGGCCTTGACAATTTGACATCCGTGCAGCGATTGATTTAGTTATCTTTCAGATTGTGCAAGTGCACAGTGTTTAGAAATCCAGGTTGTCACAGCTGTGTAAAGTCTTTCGACATTATTTACCAAAAAGGGGGTGAGAAGTAAAGTTTCTGTTGTACAATGA